AGAAATGGAAAAACATTCCATGCTCATGGATTGTAAGAATAAATACAGTTAAAATGTCATTACTACCCAAAGCAATCTACACAGTCTATGCAATCCCAATCAAAATTGCACCAGCATCCTTCTCAAAACTAGAACACATTATCCTAAAATTTGTATGGAACCACAAAAGACCCTGAATATCCAAAGGAATATTGAAGAAGAAACCAAAACGGGAGACATGACCATCCCAGACTTTAGCCTCTAATACAAAGCTGTCATCATCAAGACAGTATGGTATTAGCACAAAAACAGACACATAGACCAATGGAATAGAATTGAGAACTCAGAATTGGACCCCAAAGTGTACAGACAACTAATATTTGACAAAGCAGGGAAGAGTATCCAATGGAAAAAAGACAGCCTCTTTAACAGATGGTGCTGGGAGAACTGGACAGCAACATGCAGAAGAATGAAACTAGATCATTTTCTCACACCATACACAAAAATAAACTCAAAATGGAAAAAGGACCTGAATGTAAGACAGGAAACCATCAAAACCCTAGAGGAGAAAGCAGGAAACAACCTCCTTGACCTCCACTGCAGGAAAAGCAAGGGAATCAAGAGCAAAAATGAACTACTGGAACCTCATCAAGATAAAAAGCTTCTGCACGGCAAAGGAAACAATCCATAAAACTAATAGGCAACCGATAGAATGGGAAAAGATAGTTGCAAATGACATATCAGATAAAGGGCTAGTATCCAAAATCTATAAGGAACACACCAAACTCCATGCCCGAAAAACAATCCAGTGAAGAAATGGGCAGAAGACATGAACAGACACTTCTCCAAAGAGAACATCCAGATGGCCAACAGACACATGAAACGACGCTCAGCATCCCTCCTCATCAGGGAAATACAAATCAAAACCACACTGAGATACCACCTCATGCCAGTCAGAGTGGCTAAAATGAGCAATTCAGAGGACTCCAGATGCTGGCGAGGATGTGGAGAAACGGGCACCCTCCTACACTGTTGGTGGGAATCAAAACTGGTACAGCCCCTCTGGAAAACAGTGTGGAGGTTCCTCAAAAAATTAACAATAGAACTCCCCTATGACCCAGCAGTAGCACTGCTAGGAATTTACCCAAGGGATACAGGAGTGCTGATGCATAGGGGCACATGGACCCCAATGTTCATAGCAGCACTCTCCACAACAGCCAAAACATGGAAAGAGCCTAAGTGTCCATCAACTGATGAATGGATCAAAAAGATGTGGTTTATCTATGCGATGGAATACTCCTTGGCAATGAGAAAGAATGAAATCTGGCCATGTGTAGCAACATGGATGGAACTTGAGGGTGTTATGCTGAGCGAAATAAGTCAGGCAGAGAAGGACAGCTACAATATGTTTGCATGTATAGGAAGATTAGGAGGAACTTAACGGAGGACTGTGGGGGAGAAGAAGAGGGAAATGGTGGGGGAGAGGGAGGGAGGCAAACCATGAGAGACTCTTGAATATTGAGAACAAACTGAGGACTGATGGGTATGGGGGGAGGGGAAGGGGGGTGATGGGCATGGAGGAGGGCACTTGTGGGAATGAGCACTGGGTGTTGTATGGAAACCAACTTGAGAATAAACTATTTGTAAAAAAAAATATTTAAAAAAAGGGACTCAAATACAGAGAACAAACTGAGGGTGGATAGGCATGAGGGAGAGGGGAAAATGGGTGATGGGTATTGAGGAGGGCACGTGTTGGGATGAGCACTAGGTGTTGTACGGAAGCCAACTTGACAATAAATTATATACATATATAAAAAAAAGAACATGTGAGAGCTGGCATCTGTGGGATACCTAACCTCAAAGGAAGCAAATTTGTAAGTTCATCATTAAGTATGATAGCTGTAGGTTATAGTAGATACCTTTTGTTAGTTTTAGGAAGTTCCTCTTGGTTTCTAATTTGATGTTTTTATAATTTTTGTCATGAAGATTTAATTTTCCGAATACTTTGTTGAGTCTATTGAAATGTTTGCATGGGTTGACTTTTTGATGTGGTGACATCTATTAACTAATGTTTACCATCCTTTCTTTCCTAAGGGAAAAATATTCTTAGTCATGATGGATTTATATATTATTTATTGCTTGTTTTGGTTTGGTAATAATTGATTTATGATTTTTGCACTTATGCTTATAGGTAAGATAGATCTATAATTTTCCTTACTTACATTGTCTTTGTAGGGTTTTGCTACCAAAGTAATAGGTTCACAGGAATATTTTATTTTTAATTTTCTGGAAGGTTTATGATAAGGACTATCTTTTAAAGTTTAGTAGAAATTACCCAGTATAAAAGCTATGGCTTGTTTTTTTCCCAAATATATTAGAATAAATTTGTTTATATTCATGATGTTTAATCTCCTGTGTCTGCCCCAAATCCTTTATGTCCCTAATACTGTTAATTGTGCCTTCTTTATAATTTTATTATTGACTCTTGCCAGAGAGTATTCTATCTTATGCCTTTCAAATAACCAGCTTTTAGTTAATTTAATTACCTCTATTACTTTTTTTTTCCAGTTAGCTTATTAACTTCTGTTTACCTTGATTATTTCCTACCTTTTACTTCTTTAGATTTAGATTATGGAGTTCTTTGTCTTATTTCTTGAATAAAATGCTTAGATTACTGATTCAGTCTTTCTGCTGTCATATAAGTATTTAGGCTAAAGTTTCTCTATTTAAAGCTTTATAGTTCCTTTCTATAAGTTTTATTAACTGGTGTTTCAAAAGTAGTGGTACTATTTGATAAGTATTTTTGTACAGTTTCTAAATATCTTCTAACTTATATTTGTATTAATTCTGCATACACATAGGGCTGTTGGTTACATTTTTCTTTTTTCTTTTTTTTAGTTAAAAATTATTATTACTTTAATGAGAACATAAGTGGCAGGGAAAGGCAACATCCAAAGCATCATAGTCTGGAGCCTATCAAACATATGCTTTCTCCATCGGGCCTGATCCTAGTGTTGACCTTGGCCACGTCAATGTCACAGAGCTTCTTCATAGCCTGTTTAATCTCGTACCTGTTGGCCTTGACATCCACAATGAACTCAAGGGTGTTGTTATCTTCTGTTTTCTTCCTGGCTGACTCGGTAGTCTGGGGGAACCTGTGATGGCACAGTGGTCAGGCTTGTTTCTCTGGGGGTGGGGGGGTTGCTCTTTCAAAAATATTTGGGCTGCCTTCAAGATTCAGTGTCTTGGGCCATTGGAATGTAAGGGATATGTGGATCTTCTTTTTTTTTCTTTTTTTTGACTGTGGACGCCTTTCTTGGCTTTCAAAGCCTTTGCTTTGGCTTTGGCTCTGGGAGGGGCAGGGCCTTCCTTCTTCACCTTTGGCACCATTTTCATGAAAGGGGTCATTTCATTTTCAAAATACCGCCAGGCAGATGAGGAGGATCAAACCAGCCACACACACAGCTGGCCCAGACCAGTGTGTACTGGGAGAGCTTGCAGCAGCAGAGGCAGTAACTGAGCTCAGGACCCCCTTGCCCATTACATCCTGGGCTGCGTGCAGGCATCAAGGATGGCTGTTGTATTCATCATGCTCTAAAGAGGAACTCAGCCTCCTCTCCTTGGGCTGGGAGGCTCCTTAGCTGTGGGACTGAGGGAAGCACCAGCCCCACCCCTGGCCTACCTATGGTCTGGTGTCCAAGTCTGCTGTCCCAGCTGTGCGATGTGGCAGCCCTTGGCCTCCAGCCCTACTCTCACCTTGGGAGTTCATAGTTGGGAGAGCCCTGGTACCCTACACCACAATCAAGGGTGAGGTTTCTAGGCTTGCGATTGCAGCGGTAGGATGCAGTGAGCAAGTGAGTGGCCTGCAGCTCAGATCCAGAAAGCAGGTTTCCAGAAAGTCTTAGCTCCTAAATAGTCTGAAGGGGCCAGTCCAGCTCTGAGATGGCAGCCTGCAGATAACCAGCTTAGGCAAATCATTCTCTAGCTCTCAAATTCATTTTCCTTTTATGCCATTGCAAAACCTAACATGAAGACTCAAGTATGTTTTATATGAAATTACAATGCTGTCGGGAGAACCAGTATGTGCTATCAGTTGTGTTAAAGTATATGTGTGCAGATCTTGAATAAAGCTCCTTCATCTACTCAATGGAAGCATATTCTAAGATTTCTAGTCATTTAAGCAAGTATTTCTACTATTTAGAATTACATGTGTGATTCAAAAGTTTCTGCAAAGCAGGGCACCTGGGCAGCTGTCCATTAAGCATCTGACGTCGGCTCAGGTCATGATCTCACGGTTCAGGAGGTTGACCTCACCTTGGGCTCTGTGCTGACAGCTAAGAGCATAGAGACTGCTTTGAGTTCTGTGTCTCCCTCTCACTCTTCTCTCTCAAAAATAAACTTTTAAAAAAAGAAGTTTCTGCAAAACTAACAGAATATGGAAACAAACTCAATGCTGAAGTTGACACAAGACTGCTCATGCCATAAACATCACCAATGTCAAGTATCTGTGCTCAAATTTTGGTCTTCCTGATTGACTTCACAAATAAATGTATAAAGAAACTTGGTAACATATTTATAGGCAAAATACTATTTTAGAATTGTATATATTAAGTTCTATACAACATTTAATTTGGGGAATAATATTGAAAACTAATAGTTTAGATAACAGCATTTTCATTATTATCAGTTATAACCCACTTTTCAATTCTGAGTTGGCAAACACTCTCCATTCCCACTGGAAGGTACCTTGTCCTAAGCAAGTGTCTGTTTGCCACTAGCTAGTGTACAGAAAAGTGACTGTCCTGTGATGTTTCCTATTTGACAGAAGTTTTTTCCTCAAAAGCATTTATTTACAATCTGATTGGAGAATGAAAAAAAGAAGCCTAGTACTGGGCTTTGTGGGATTCAGAATGAAGAGAAAATTATTTCGCTCTCAGGGTATCATGACATCATGAGGTAGACAGACCACTGCAAGACCAGGAATGAAGGAATGGAAAATAAAAACTGCAATGTCACAGAGCTTGACATGTAATCTTTTTTATTTTGTGATAAAAATGCTTTCATATAAATTTCATCTTAACTACTTTAGAATGAAACTTTGAAAAGTAAAAACAATTTGCATTTTCCTTACTATGTATAGTTAGGAACATGCAGTCATTTTTTCTGGTTACTGGGTTTCTCATACAAACAGATATAGTATCACTTTTAAAAGAAATGTATACAAGGAAGGAGCCATAGTACCAGTTACAAGTGGGAGCGTCAGGTCATATCATTGTGTCTTCTCAAATAGTCATCATACATTCAACGTGTTGGTTAAAACCAAACTCTCCAAGCCACCTGCCCACAAAACATTATACCTTTGGTTCTTTTCTCTGCCAGAACTGTGTCCCAGCAAATGTAATAATGAGATGGTATAATGGGCTTGAGCAACAAGGCCTATTGCTCATGTCACCAAAGTCTTTAACTCTGTCTTTTACACCTTTCCCGCCCTCACCATCATGTAAGTCAGAAAATGATGCTTAAAACAAAACAGAAGAAATGAACAGAAAAATCTATCCCCAAAGGCAGACAGAAGAGGAGTCAAAGGAAAAATTTATAAAAACAAACCAAAACTGGGGAGAGGGTGACCTATACATGGCATAAAAGACGTGTCCTATAAAACTTGGTCTCTAATTCAGAACCCAAATGAGAAAGTGATTCTTTGTCTCACCTTCTCTTTTATTAGGTACTATACAACTGAAGGGTTCTTAGAATCTAAGGGATTGATAAATGCTTGAAAGGCAGTGTCTTCCTCATCACTGAGGCCCGTAGTCTGTAATGGCAGCTTTCACATTCCGTTTTCTCGAAACCCGAAGGATCCCAAGAAGGAGAAATAAGCAAGTTAGGCCTATATTGTGGTTGGGGAAGGAGGTAATAGAGGATGCAAGCTGTTGGGTCAGAGGCTGATACTTTCGGGAAGCGGAGAAGAAACAGAATGACAGAGAGGGTCTCCCCATCTGTGAATTAACAAATGGGCCCAAGGACAGAGAGTCACCGTTCAGAAGATAAAATCTTACGTGGTACGAAAGGGCTGGTAGAGTTGCCATATGAGAAAATATAAAATGTACAGTCTGCTTACCTTGGGGCAGAACCAGTTATTTCTGTTGGTTTGAGGAACTTGGGCAGGACTGAAAAAACAATTTGTAGATTGTGATGCTAACACACACACACGGGTTCCGTAAGGGGCCACAGCCAGATAAATCAGGTTAAGTGGAATGCTCTGATGGGCACTCCTAGCCAAGGCAGGAATGAAGACTATCATTCAAACCAAAACAGAGTAGGAAATTCACCTGTTATTATCTATAAAATGCCCCAGCATAACTAATTTCCCAGGTGTCATGACATCATAGCACCGGGTAGAGATCACAGTGTGGCCACAGGACCAACTATCAGCCGACTCAGGGACAAGAGCAAGAAAATGATATTCCTCCTATTTCTAGTGTTGACTAGAATGCTTCTGCCCTTGATAGGGTGTCACAGAAGGTGCCGAGACCACAAATACAGACAGCAGACTCAAGTAAACTCTAATCATAATCTGAGCATGAGAATGACAAAGACAGTAAGTCTTTAATTGTCCATCATTATCTACAAGGCAACTCTGGGAAAGGAAAGTGTCCCCAGTAAGTGTCTATGTTAGTTGCCTAGAAGGGAATGTCACGGCTGCCTCAAAGGAAAAGGTATGGTAGCAAAAAATAGCAGAGGCTGCCTCATAGTTCCAACCTTTGTACAGGGCTGGCTTGGACCCTAGAGAACTAGGTTAGCTTTTTATTTCTTGTACTTGAACACAGAAAACTCCATGCGCTGGGTGAGAATCTACTTGGGTGCACCGATAACTCGGACTACACGCACAGTGTGAAGGAAGGGCTGGTGAGCAAGCCTGTGGGCAGAAACAGTATCAGGAAGCAGAGACTGCGATCCCTCTGCAAAGGGAACATGGCCGGCATGGGGTCCCTTGAGCCGAGCAGAGTTCAGTTCTCAGTGGCGAGGAAGTATCGTTTGAGACATTTTCTTCTGTGGAGACAGATGGAAGGAAAGGCTCAACGGCTAAGGATGAGCAAGTGAAGGAGGCCGGGGGCTCTGAGATCTGGGACCAAATGTGTTTTGCACAGGCCATCAATGGAATGCTGGGCGGGAAGGAAAGGGACTTGTTCGTGGGTAACCACTTCTCACACGAGTTAGCTTATCTCTTGGTCATCCCAACATTCTACATCTTTGTTTTTTGTTTGTTTGAAGGGGGTCATAGTATCTGCACTGCCAACGATAAAACTTCACACTGACTAGGCCCACAAATGGAAAAACAACCAATTCTTATCCTTCTTCCTGGTAAGGTTATGTAAAGCCCTTCATGCAGGCAAGAGAATGAAGGTGCTGTCTCTTGAAAAGGTCTTCTGTCCCCAGAATGGGTTCAAAGGAAAGTATCTTGCTCCCCTTCCTCTTCTAGGAATGCCATTATGTAGGAGACTGCAATGACTCCATTTTCTAAAGGAACATACTTGAAAGGTGTATGCTGAGAACCATAACCGAAGCGAACCCTGTGATACTCCTTGGGACACTGGGAGAAGAGGGCAAAGAGGCTGAAGTTACCTTCCAGAGCAGGAATGATTAAAAGCACGTTGCCCTATACCATGCCAGAGGTGTGGGGGGAGTACAACCACAACGAGGTGCAAAAATTAAAGCACCAAATGAAGTCAAAAGAATTTCCAAGGAAGAGAGGAGGAGACAGGTCAACTTGGGCAGAATTCCAGCGTACAATTCCCAACAGGACTGTACAGTAAAATCTTCGCACAGATAAGGCAAAGCCCCCAGGGCTTAAAATGCAGTCCAATCTGCAAGAATGTCTGGGCTACAACAGGCATCCATTCTTTCCTCCAAACAGAAAAGAGTAAACACGGCCCGAAGTCTTCTATTCGTCTTACATTTCCACAAACTTGGCTTGATGGGTAAGAGATTAAAAGGAACCATGTTCCTCCCACCCCAAATCCTGGAGATACCCAGTGAAGCTGACAAAACTGCTTCTTGAATTATATAAAAGATAAAAGCATCTTCTTCCTCCTGCTTCCCGAGATTTCTTCATTTCTCTCCTGGATGACCTTCATTTGTTCCTCAGCAGCATGTATGATAGGCAGTTCTGTCCCTACATTGGAGGCAGACTCCTTCAGGCATAAACCTGCATGTTGCTGCGTGGCGGCTCAGACATGTGTGTCCCAGGTCCCCGCTGACCTCCTCCAGCACCTCCAGGGGTAGGGCTGGTGGTCACATCTGACCAGTCAGAAGCAGAGTGGGGTGATGAACTTGACCACTGGTCAGGAGACTCTGGGGATGGTGTCAGGTAGGGATGCTCACCCTGGAGGTGACCACTATGACTGGGTGTTCGCTCAGCAGCATTTGAGGAAGCATAACTATGCTGTGAAGGTGGTGTGGGATACTTGCCCACAGAGGCTGGAAAAGGATGATAGGCCGGGAGAATGGTCTGAGCAACCTGCCCATCCTGCTGGGGCATCATGGCAGTGGGAAAAGCCATATTAGGTAAACGAGCCATTTCTGGAATCTGGTACATGGTGGGCACAGGGCCTGCAACAGGTGGGGGGCAGTTGGACTGAGGCTGGGGAGTCCCTGCTGGCTGGGCAATACTGCCTTTAGGGATTAGCTGGAAAGTCACAATGGGGGGCAAGGGCTCCCGAGGGGTAGCTATATGCTTCCCTTCAGGTGGCCTGCTCTGGGGAGGGATGCCAGGGGGTGTGCCCTCAGCTGGGGCCAGAACCATACTGAACATCTCATTGTACTGGCTCTCATTCATCTCCATGCGGTTCATCCAATCTGCTGGAACAGTGACTGGGTGGAGTCTACCCAAGCTTCCCGTACTGCCACTGCCTGGGGGAACGATATGGTGGTGGGACAGCAGCTGGCTCACTGAGGGAAGCACAGTGTTGGCCCCATGAGCCAAAGGCTGCATTTCAGGCAGGTTAGAGAAAGACAGTGCATGCTGTGCATGGACTGGGGCAGCGGGTGCAGCCGTGGCCAGCACAGGGTTGGGGGAAGCCTGTAGGATCCCAGGGGATGTAATCATTGGAGAGGATGTGGTGTCAGAAACATATGTGTGAGGAGACTCTAAGGAATCAACTGGGGATAAAGTCACTGAACTCTCAGACAGCTGACCCTTGTCACTCAGAGACTTCTTCCTTCTACTACCCTTGGCATCCTTGGCCTCCTTGGAAAGGTTAGGGAGGCTAGTGGGCATGGCATTCTTGGTATTGGGCCGTCTAGGCTTCTTGCCCATCGGGGTGTGCTTTAGGCTGAGGAAAGATCTGTTGGGCCCACAGATGACTGGTGAGAGGGCAGAGGTCAGCACAGTGCCTGGAGGGCTTGGTGTCACATTGTACTCGTCTAGGAGGCGGACAATGTCATGGTGCATGCGGTCCCGAGCCACATCCCTGGGAAGACGATCCATGTGGTCTGTGATGTCCCGATTGGCAAAATGGTCTAACAGGATCTTGGCTGCTTCATAACTTCCCTCCCGGGCAGCAAGAAACAGAGGTGTCTCTTCCTACAGAAAAGGCCCATACAGCACATTAAAATCAGTAACACTCCTGACAATATGTCAGTGTTTCTCAAACTTTTTGTTATTATCAACCCCTCAGACATTTTTTCCCTAACTGCCTCCCCATATGAAATTTTAGTAACACTGATAAAACATCTATCTACCTATTCACTGAATGTATATCTGTAGCTTAAATTTTTTTTTACAGTTTATTTATTTAGAGAGAGAGAGACAGAGAGAGCAAGGGGGAGGGGCAGAGAGAGAGGGAGACAGAGAATCCCAAGCAGGCTGTGTGCTGTCAGCACAGAGCCCAACATGGGGCTCGCACTCATGAACAGCGAGTTCATGACCTGAGCTGAAACCAAGAACTGGACACCTACCTGACTGAGTCACCCAGGTACCCCGTGTATCTGTAGCTTTATGCATAAAAAGAGTATGATCATTCTACTCTTTCTCAACAATCAATTTTGCCCCATTGAGGGTGATGTCTCCTTTGTTGGAAATGTGTGAAATAAAGCATTCCCCTGAGCCAGAGGTTTGCTTGGAAGAGCACGGAGCTTATCAAAATAGGGTTCTAAGAAGAAAAGGAGTTAAAAATAAGAGAAGTAGGAGGGCAAGAACCTAAAGGAGGAGAATAAGGGGAAGCAGAAGCAAAAGGAAACAAAACATGTTTAAGAAAGAAGTAAAATGAGAGAAAAGAGTAAATACACATGAGAAGAGAAGATGAGCAAGAGGAGGGAAGCATGACCTGAAACTCAGAGGAAGAAAAGTGATCAGGAAAATACCATGGTGTCCAAGAACGGAAAACAAGAGCCATGGGAAGGAAAATGAAAAAGAACGAGAGAAACACAAGTGGGCATGAAGAGAACAGAGAACATGTAGATGTCAAAGAAGAGAAAGGCGGAAAAGGCTACAATGGAGTTGTTTACAGGGCAGCCTGATCCAGATGGAGTACTGCAGAGCCAGAGGACTGGCTCCGGACACTTCCCTGCGTGAGCCCAATACCTTCCCCTCAAACTCTGGATCCAGCTGCTGTCCATGCAGAGCCTTCCTCTGTCCATACCCCTCACAAGAGGAGCTAGGGGAGAAAAGGGAAGGGTCCATATCTTTTTTTTTTTTAATGTTTTATTGATTTCTAGGAGAGAGAGAGAGAGACAGCGTGAGCAGGGGAGGGTCAGAGAGAGAGGGAGTCACAGACCGAAATAGGCTCCACGCTCTGAGCTGGCAGTCAGCACAGAGCCCGACGCGGGGCTCGAACCCACGAACCGCGAGATCATGACCTAAGCGAAAGTCGGACGCTTAACCGACTAAGCCACCCAGGCACCCCAGGGAAGGGTCCATATCTGACGCACTGCCAGGTCTGCCCAGACTGTACCTTGTTGTCCTGCATGTCTCGGTTGGCCCCGTTTTTCAACAGCAAAAGAGTTGCCTCCACATTATTGACAGCAGCTGCCCAGTGAAGAGCAGATTTTCCTGCAGGGAAAAACACTTTTATAAGCAGACAGAGTAGAGGAACATGTCCTACTCCCAGTATAAGGAAGCATCATGGCTTATATAAGGAAACCATGAACTTCCCAGAGAGAAGCAAGCCGGTTGAGAGTGACTGCCTGCAGAAAAAAAACCAAAGTATTAGCTTTCCTTTCCCTCTGTCCTAGAAATACTTTAATACAGGCTGCTTAGCATTGGAAAGACAGGTAGGTAAAAGGAAGGATTCCCACGTCTTCTACATGGTAGAATCCCAAACTAAGGACAATAACCTATCTATTTATCACACACCAGAATGTCGATTTAAGATGTTGCTCACAATCCCTTAGTGAAGTCAGCTCACTAGTCCTCATATCCAGAGTGGTGTTCTTGGGAACCTACAGAGGCAAGCCTTTCACAGACTGGCTTTGGGTTCCAAAAACCCTCACTAAAAATCCCTTCCTATATTCGCCTATGGACTTCCCAGTGGCTTAGTTCTCTGAACTTAAAATGTTGAAAGGAAGAATAAATGAATGACAGACTCTTCACTAGATTTAAATCTGAGACAATTCTTTAAAGATCACATAATGATTTTCCCCCCTAAAGGCATGCTTTGCAGGTGAGAATCTGGCTCCCTGCCTCTCGGCCCTACCATGGTCGTCCACTGCATTCACATCTGCTTGGCAGTTGATCAGTTCTGCCACCATTCCCTCCACAGCCAGGCGGGCGGCCAGGATCAGTGGTGTAGTGCCGTCATTCATCCTGGCGTCCAGATCAGTCACTCGATTGCGGATCAGAATCTACAAGATGAGAAAGTACAGAGAAGACAGTCAACTAGATAAAAGAAAATAATGAAGTTAAGAGAAGAAACAAGAGCATTAGAATTGAGTTACACTGTAAGTTCCTGGAGGGCGGGGAATGCTTGTTGGCTTTGTGTCCATGATTCTATCACCCTCAATCAATAAATACTGAATGAATGCATGCATGAATGAACAAATGGGTGCTCAACCTCAATCAATAAATACTGAATGGATGCATGAATGAATGAAGAAACAAAGGGTGTTCAGGACACAATGTCTCATGGAAAGTGATATAAGGAAGAAATGGGGAAATATCACAACCTCAGTTATGGTATATATATAGTTTAGGATTAATTAGAATGCATGTTTCTTCACAAGGGTAAAAATAAAAGGGCATCAAGGAACACTGTGAATTCATGTCAAAAAAAACCCACCAAGAAGCATCTGGAAGCCCATATGGCCAGGTAAATCTACAGGGAGAAGCTGATACTAGTCGAAAACTTCATAACAGGTATCACTCCCATCTGATCTATTCATTTGGGAGGCATTTTGGCACATCAAAAAGAACAGTGATTAAGAATCAGAAAACTGGTGAGATCTGCTGTGAGCTCTACTGCTATCTGGATGTTCTGGTTAGGTCAGTCTGCTGCCACTCTTTTCCTGTTTTCCCATCCAGCAAGCATGATTCCATCTGCCCTATTCTCTCAGAGAATTACTGAATGAGCATAATTGGATAGTAAGTGCCTTAGCAAAGAGAAACCATTATAGATCGATAGGCAATCAGCTCTGCTCCTGTTCTTTACCTGGAAGACCCCTTGGGCATCAGCTGCCACGGCAGCATGGAGAGGGCAGCGGCCCATGTTGTCCTGGGCGTTGGCATCTGCACCTGCATCCAGGAGACGCTTAGCGGCATCAGCCCTTGAGTAGCGCGCTGCAAGGTGCAGGGCCATCTCACCAGTCCGGTCTGTCTGGGCCTGCAGGCTGGCACCCTGGTAGACCAAGTCTGTGATGATGTTGGCAGAAGAGTCCTCTCCATCTTCATCTTCATCACTCATATCTGAGCTGCCTCCTCGGAGAGAAGCCAGCATCAGTGGGGTGCACCCGTCTATAAGAAAGGAATTTTCCAAAAAACATTCAAGGAGGAGGAGGACATTACTGTTCAATTAATCCAGCTATTAGAATAGTTCTGTTTGAATAAAGTTATTCTTATGGGGAAAAAATATCTCTGAGTTTCTGTGGTAATTGGCAATTTGTTTTACATTTGCGACAGACTTTTTCCTCTGATAATGTCTTTTTGTAAAGAGTAATGGGAAAGTAAGAGCCTTTGTAAGCTGGGGCTCTTCTCTAAGTTAAATAAGACTTTCTGTTTGAATTCCTAAGTGCTGTTATTTTAAATTGAGCAACATTTTAAAATACCCAGTATTGGAGGGGGCAAGATGGCAGAGAAGCAGGGAACTCCGTACATTGCACTCGCCCCCATATCTCGCACAGAGAAGTCCTGAAGCCACAGGAACCTTTACAGAATCCAGGAGTTTGGGAGGAAAAGGAGACAGAGTCCGCTGAGAAAACCTTCTACAGTGAGTGCGAACTGGTGAAGATAAAATCGGGCAAGGACCAGAGACACAGAGGAAGGGGGGGATATCCCTCTGTGGGGAGTTAGAGGGGAAAGAGAATGGCTGAAACTGCTCAGGACACTGTCCCTGTCGTTGGAAAAGAGTAAAACCTCTGCTCGGGACACAGAGGGACCTGGTTTCCTGCTCTCCAGCTGACCCTAGGCAGGACACACTTGTCCCAGGCGACCCCCGGATGAAACTGCTCCTCGCTTGTCAACCCGACCTGGAGGAGACAGGAGCAGCAGCTTCTGGCTCAATCCCCAGGGGGGAGGCGAAAGGCTTGGGACTGCCCTGAGGGGATCGCCTGCGGGTTTGTGTTTCTGGCAAATTCAGTGGGGGCGCACAGAATGGAATCTGGAAACGAGGCCTGACCTGGGATATAGAGCACTGCCCACCTTGGCTGTGCCCCCGGCACAAGGAGTTTACACACCCAAAAAAGTGAGTTGCAGCACTTGGTTCAAGAGGGGACTGGAGCGCCACCACTCTTCTCCCCACAACCGCCAAGGACTCCCGCCTCACGCCTCACACACTGGATCAAACCACGCCCATCACTGCTAGAGAGCTGCCTACTTCCTTTTTTTTTTTTTTTTTTAACCGAAGCACTGCCCCGATTAATTTTGGTCACTGGCTTGCTTAAATAGTCACATTTAATCCACACCTACCTACCTTTTCATCTCTTTCTCTCCGGAGTAATCAGACTATATAGTTTCTTTGGTTAGCATCATCGTCATTTCTTTCGCCTCTTCTCCGACCACATTTCACTCTTTCACTCTTTGAAAAAAGCCTCTTATTCCTTCTGCCTGCTCATTTCATTTCCAATTTCGCCTCATTCCCACCCTGTCATTTCTCACTTTCTCTATGCTCTTCCACCAGCACTGCATACACCTGGCTATTTACTGGTAGCTGGAAAATCTGGTTATATGCTTTAAACTGTTCTTTGTCTATTGGGTTTCTTCTTTTTTCCTTTTATTTTTTTTTCTTTTTTATGTACTTTTATTTCTTATCATTCGCTATCCCTCCTTCCTCTTTTCTTTTTCGTCTTCCTTTTCGGTTTGCGTGTTTGTTGGATTTGTCAGTGTGTTTGTGTGCCGTTGTTCCCTATATTTGTCTGTCTGTTTTCTTTTCCAGGGCTACCTCAAGAAACAAGCCTAAGTACACACGGTGGAGAGTCCCAAATACCACTACGAGTAGGAAAATAAAATAACGAAGGACTCAACAAGAGAGACCAAGAGAAACCATTCAAAGAACACTTTCTGAACGGTCAGGCCCTGGACAGTCAAAGAGCCTTCTTTGATACAGCAGTGCCCATAGGTACAGAGTGCATAACAAGCTTTTAAAACTAACAAGAGATAGAAAGCTAACCAAAATGACGAAACGAAAGAGCTCTCCTCCAAAGAAATTCTAGGAAGAATTGACAGCTAAAGAACTGCTCAAAACAGACATAAGCAACATAACTGAATAAGAATTTAGAACAATAATCATAAAATTAATCGCTGGGCTTGAAAAAAGCACGAGGACATCAAAAACTATGGCTACAAACACCATGGAGCTTAAAAATAGTTATGATGAATTTAAAAATGCGATAAATGAGATACATAATAAACTGGAGGTGTCCAATGCACGGATTGAAGAGGCAGAAAGGAGAAAAAGTGATTTAAATTTTTTTTAATGTTTTATTTATTTCTGAGAGAGAGAGAGAGAGAGAGAGAGTGCGTGAGCAGGGGAGGGTCAGAGAGAGAGGGAGATACAGAATCCGAAACAGGCTCCAGGCTCTGAGCTGGCTGTCAGCACAGAGCCTGACGTGGGGCTCGAACCCATGAACGATGAGATCATGACCTGAGCCGAAGTCAGATGCTTAACCGACTGAGCCACCCAGGCGCCCCGAGAATAAGTGATTTAGAAGACACAATTATAGAAAAAGAAGAAACTGAGAAAAAGATAAACTGATCCAGGAACATGAAAGAAGAGTTCGAGAGCTCAGCAATACAATCAAATGGAACAATATCCATATCACAGGAATCCCAGAAGAGAAAGAGAGAGAGAGAAAGGTGCTGAAGGAGTCCTGGAACAAATTATAGCAGAGAACTTATAAGTAGTTCTCTACGTATAAGGGAAGTAGATGTTGAAATCCAAGAGGCACAGAGAACTCCCCTCAGACGTACTTGAATTGATCTTCTGCACGACATATCACAGTGAAACTGGCAAAATACAAGGACAAAACATAAGGACAAAGAGAATTCTGAAAGCAGCTAGGAAGAAAAGGGCCCTAACATACAAAGGGAAAACTTTCAAGTTTCAGTTATCTACTGAAACTTGGCAGGCCAGAAAGGAATGGCAGGAGATCTTCCATGTGATGAACGGAAAAAATATGCAGCCAAGAATCCTCTATCCAGCAAGCCTCTCATTCAGAATAGAAGGAGAGCTAAAAGTATTTCCAAATAAACAAAAATTGAAAGAATTTGTCACCACTAAACCAGACCTAAAGAAATCCTGAGGGGGACTCTCTGAGGGAAATGTTACAAGGAATACAAGATACAAGAGACACAACCACAAGAATGAATCCCACAAAAGACAAAATGACTCTAAACCCATAAATTTCAATAATAACACTGAATGTAAATGGACTAAATGCCCCAATCAAAAGACACAGGGTAGCAGAATGGATAAAAAAAACAAAATCCATCTATTTGCTGTCTACAAGAAACTCATTTTAGACTGGAGGACACCTTCAGATTGAGAGTAAAGGGGTGGAGAAATATCTATCATGCTACTGGAAGTAAAAAAAAAAAATCTGGAGTAGCTATACTTATATCAGACAAACTGGACTTTAAAGTAAAGGCAGTAACAAGGGATAAAGAAGGGCATTATATAATAATTAAAGGGTCTATCCATCAGGTAGAGCTAACAATTATAAATGTCTATGCACCAAACATGGAAGCACCTAAATACATAAAACAATCACAACCAGAAACACTCTTATCGATAAGAATGTGCTAATAGCAGGGGACTTTAATACTCCACTTACAGCAATGGACAGATCAGCTAGACAGAAAATCAGTAAAGACACAATGGACTTAAATGACATTGGACCAGATGGATTTGACAGATATATTTAGAACTCTACATCCTGAGGCTATGGAATTCACTTTCTTCTCCAGTGCACATGGCACATTCTCCAAGACAGATCGCATACGGGGACATAAAGCAGCCCTCAATAAATATAAAAGAATTTGGATCATACCATGCACACTTTCAGATCACAATGCTATGAAACTCGAAGTCAATCACAGGAGGAAGTCTGGAAAACCCCCAAAAACATGGAGGTTAAGGAACACCCTACTAAAGAACAAATGGGGCAATCAGGCAATTACAAAAGAAATTAAAAAATATATGGAAACAAATGAAAATGAAAATACTATCCAAAATCTATTGGATGCAGCGAAAGCAGTCCTAAGAGGAAAGTACACTGCACTCCAGGCCTATTTCAAGAAATGAGAAAAAGTGCAAGTGCAAAATCTAACAGCACACCTAAAGCAACTAGAGAGAGAAACAAGAGCACCCCAAACCCAGAAGAAGGGAAATAATAAAAATCAGGGCAGATATAAACAATACAGAAACCAAAGAAACAGTTGAAGAGATCAATGAAAGCAAGAGCTGGTTTTTTGAAAAAATAAACAAAATTGACAAACCTCTAGCCAGGCTTCTCGAAAAGAAAAGAGAGAGCACTCAAATACACAAAATCATGAATGAAAATGGACTGATTACAACCAACCCCTCAGAAATACAAGCAATTATCAGGGAATACTATGAAAAACTATATACCAACAAACTGTGCAACTTAGAAGAAATAGACAAATTCCAAAACACACATTCACTACCAAAATTCACACCAAAAGAGATAGAAAACCTGAACAAACCCATAACAAGTGAGGAAATCGAATCAGTATCAAAAATCTCCCAACAAATAAGAGCCCTGGGCCAGATGGCTTCCCTGGGGAATTCTATCAGACATTTAAAACAGAATTAATACCCATTCTTCTCAAGCTATTCCAAAAATAGAAATCGAAGGAAAACTTCCAGACTCATTCTACGAAGCCAGCATCACTTTGATTCCCAAGCCAGACAGAGACCCAGCAAAAAAGAACTACAGGCCAATAGCCTTGATGAATACGTATGCAAAAATCCTCAACAAGATACTTGCAAATCGAATACAACAGCACATAAAAAGAATTATCCACCAAGATCAAGTGGGATTCATTCCTGGGTTACAGGGCTGGATCAATATTTGCAAATCAATCTACGTGATACATCACATCAACAGAAGAAAAGATAAAAATCATATGATCCTGTCGATAGATGCAGAAAAAACATCAGACAAAATACAGCATCCCTTCTTAATAAAGACCCTCGAGAAAGTCGGTATAGAAGGAACTTACTTAAACATCACAAAAGCCATCTATGAGAAGCCCTCAGCTAATATCATCCTCAACGGGGAAAACCTGAGAGCTCTCCCCCTGAGATCAGGAACACGACAGGGATGTCCACTCTCACCACTGTTGTTTAACATAGTGCTGGAAGTCCTAGCATCAGCCATCAGACAACAAAAGGAAATAAAAGGCATCAGAAATGGCAAAGAAGAAGTCAAACTTTCACTCTTCGCAGATGACATGATAATCTACATGAAAACCCGGCAGACTCCACCAGACACCTGCTAGAACTGATCCAAGAATTCAGCCAACTTGCAGGGTACAAAGTCAACGTACAGAAACCGGTTGCATTTTTATACACCAACAATGAAGCAACAGAAAGAGAAATCAAGAAACTGATCCCATTCACAATTGTACAAAAAACCATAAAATACCTAGGAATAAACATAACCAAGGATACAAGAGATCTGTATGATGAAAACTATAGAAAACTTATGAAGGAAATTGAAGAAGACACAAAGAAATGGAAAAACATTCCATGCTCATGGATTGGAAGAATAAATATAGTTAAAATGTCATTACTACCCAAAGCAATCTACACATTCAATGCAATCCCAATCAAAATTACACCAGCATACTTCTCAAAACTAGAACAAACTATCCTAAAATATGTATGGAACCACAAAAGATCCCGAATAGCCAAAGGAATATTGAAGAAGAAAACCACAACGGGCCGCATCACCATCCCAGGCTTTAGCCTCTACTACAAAGCTGTCATCATCAAGACAGTACGGTATTAGCACAAAAACAGACACAGACCAATGGAATAGAATGGAGAACTCAGAATTGGACCCAAAAGTGTACAGCCAACTAATCTTTGACAAAGCAAGAAAGAGTATCCAGGGGAAAAAAGACAGCCTCTTTAACAGATGGTGTTGGGAGAACTGGACAGCAACACGCAGAAGAATGAAACTAGATCATTTTCTCACACCATACACAAAAATAAACTCAAAATGGATAAAGCACCTGAACGTGAGACAGGAAACCATCAAAACCCTAGAGGAGGAAGCAGGAAACAACCTCCTTGACCTCTACAGCAACAACTTCTTACTTGACACATCCCCAAAAGCAAGGGAATCAAGAGCAAAAATGAACTACTGGGACCTCATCAAGATAAAAACCTTCTGCAAAGCAAAGGAAACAAGCCATAAAACTAACTGGCAACCACTGGAATGGGAAAAGATCGTTGCAAATGATGTATCAGATAAAGGGTTAATATCCAAAATCTATAAGGAACTCACCAAACTCCACACCCGAAAAACAACCCAGTAAAGAAATGGGCAGAAGATATGAACAGACACTTCTCCAAAGAGGACATCCAGATGGCCAACAGACACATGAAACGATGCTCAGCATCCCTCCTCATCAGGGAAATACAAATCAAAACCACAGTGAGATACCACCTCACACCGGTCAGAGTGGCTAAAATGAGCAAATCAGAGGACTCTAGATGTTGGTAAGGATGTGGAGAAACGGGCACCCTCCTACACTGTTGGTGGGAATGTAAACTGGTACAGCCCCTCTGGAAAACAGTGTGGAGGTTCCTCAAAAAATTAACAATAGACTCCCCTAGGACCCAGCAGTAGCACTGCTAGGAATTTACCCAAGGGATATAGGAGTGCTGATGTATAGAGGCACATGGACCCCAATGTTCATAGCCCCACTCTCCACAACAGCTAAAACATGGAAAGAGCCTAAGTGTCCATCAACAGATGAATGGATCAAGATGTGGTTTATCTATGCGATGGAATACTACATGGCAATGAGAAAGAATGAAATCTGGCCATGTGTAGCAACATGGATGGAACTTGAGGGTGTTATGCTGAGCGAAATAAGTCAGGTAGAGAAGGACAAATACCATATGTTTGCACGTATAGGAAGATTAGGAGGAACTTAACGGAGGACCGTGAGGGAGAAGAAGTGGGGAAATAGTGGGGGAGAGGTAGAGAGGCAAACCATGAGAGACTCTTGAATGCTGAGAACAAACTGAGGACTGATGGGTGTTGGGGGGGGGAGGTGGTGTGATGGGCATGGAAGAGGGCACTTGTGGGGATGAGTACTGGGTGTTGTTGGAAACCAACGCAACAACAAACTCTTTATAAAAATAAATACCCAGTATTAATAGAATGATATGCACTAAGGTATCAAGTAAACTAAATTTTTAACCCTCTGCTTTGGGATATTATTTCTCTATCCTACTAAAATCTTTCCCATGTAATCAGCCTTCTGTTCCCAAGCATGCTGTAGGTGAGGCAAAATACATCCTTCCCTCTTACAAAAATTTATATTTTCTGCATGTCTGTATTCCTTACGTATTCATTTCCTCATGCTAATTTAGTCTGTGCCATTGGCAGGGGGCAGATCACCAAGTGCGGTAAACACAGGCACAACACAGAACCAAAGGCAGGCAGGGCAAGTTTGGAAAGTGGGTAGCTTGTGTGTGCTGACCTGGGCCACGGACATTCACGTCCAACACGTCCACCTCCTGCTCTGCCTGTGGAGGAGTGAGCGCCAGTGATGGCGTCCTGCGGATATCTGCAGCCTCAAGGTGCTGTTGTGTCCATGGACGTCGGTCAATGGCATCATCTTCTTCTGAGAGCAAAGCCTCGTCTTCAGCCTGACAAGGCAAAACAATGCTTTGTGTTGACCTGGCCTATCATTAGGAGTTGCAGACAAGGAAGTAGGTGTAGTCTCTTCTGACTCTACCTTCCAGGGCATCATTCACACCGCCTTCCTGCTGCTGCCGGAAGGGATTCTTATCACCTTCTCCTGTGCCATCTGAAGAATTCTCCCAACCTCCCCATTCCAAGCTCCAGGCTTCAGTCTTAACATACCATCTGGTTCACCTACCAAATATGCTATCTAGATACAGATCCCCAAACACCATTTCCTTGCTTCTGGACTTTTGCCTCGTTGTCCTCTCTGCCTGCCATGTCTTTTCCCAATTCTTTGTCTAACTCCTACCTACCCTTCAAACTGAACTGGACTTTAATTCTTCTTGTGGGTTCCAAAATACCCTCTGCTTACCTCTACTTAACTGACTATGTGTTAAGCGCTCACAAGGCACTATACAATAGTCTCTACCCCTAGATGGTAAGGTTCATGAGAACAGGAAACAAGCTTTGTTCAATATCACCTCCCTGTACTTAATACAACGCCCAGTGCATAGCGAACACCCCAAGAAAATATTTGTTGGGCAATAACTATTATAATTTAAAAGGCAGCTACCCTTTATTAAATATTCACTACATGACAGAAAATGGGTAAGATGCTTTACACGTATTACTATACTTAATCTTTGAAACAACCCCCTATTTTACATATGAAGATAATTAGGTACAAAGAGGTTAAGTACCAGAGTTTTGGACTTGAATCTAGTTCTGACTGTAACTAAGCAATGTTCTTAACCATCATGGTGTACTGCATGCCTATATTCCTCAAGCCTCATACCCTCAAGCTGCTTTAGAATATCCACGGATATATGCATATCCTAGCCATGTATAGCTATGGACGACTGTCTCCCTTTTCTCATCAGTATCTTTTCTAGCATCCTGGGCTCAAGATGCAAAACCTCTAAACTCAACGGTCACTGGCTTTCTTCTTTCCTATAGGGGGAGTATCCAGAGAAGACAGGGGGAGATTTAGCCATAAAGGAAACTCCTATTTACACACATTAGTCCTTATTCAGCTACCATCAGCATGATTCTTAAGGAAGGAGGTATGTTTGTTTTATTATTTTTAAAGAGCTCTTTTTTTTTTTTTCCAGTTTACTTACTTATTTTGAGAGAGGGAGAGCGAGCAAGTGCAAATGGGGTAAGGGCCTTTCATGATTCCTGCCTTTCATGACAACGTGGGTAGCCACTGCCTGGACAGCATATAAAGACTATCACCCTTTTCACCCATTCAGGACACTCTACATAGGAAGTAGCAAAGGACAGAAATTTGAAATGTGACCAGATGATGGCTCTACCATGCAGCTTACCTTGGCTTTCTTTGGCTGGGGCCCTTCATCATCAACCCAATGTTCACTTGTTCCTGAACCAATCAGGTTAGCCTCTGAGACTTGCACTGAGAGATTTCTGATAGGACAAGATTATGAAGGGGAAAAACAAGAGCAGAGGTTATGTCAGAAACTGATATAGTGGTTTTCAATACTTTTCCCTGACTATCCTCAAAGACTTCCAGGGGCCCTGGCCCCAAGAGTATGGGCAGTATTTTCCAACCCATTGCCTGAGTGAACACCTTTCCTTTCCGTGGATCAAGAGCTTACAACAAAAGGTGCCTCAACATACAAGCCGAGCACCACTGTTTTAATATGTACAGAATAGAAGCATCCACTCTGAATTGTGGTCAAGTGTGATAATGTGGTGTGGCCAGAGCTCAAAATTCATAATTCAATGAGATCTCCTTTCAGATCTACCCCTGCCATTACTACTGGGAACAGTAGCTCACTGGCAAACTGTCTTACTTCAGCCCCACGGCATCTTGTCCCACAGGCTCACGACGCTTGTGATTGCTGGAGTCTCGGCGCAGTGTGAACCCTTCAGGCAGCCAAAGGGAGCCGTGCTTGCGCTTTCGTTTCGCCATGATAACGCCCAGTAAGATAATAAACAGGATAATGACAACAGCAACAGCAAGTAGATAGAGTAGCTGAGTACCTTTTGGAGTCAGAGATTCACCTGGAAGTGCAGAGGGACAGGCAGAATGCTCAATAAATGTTTCAATGTTAGCATAAAATTCATTTAGAGGGCACGGACTGACTGACCTCACTGGCACTGAAAAACAGAGCTGCACACTGAAAAGTGTGCCCTTTTCTCACTGCCCCAAGTGACGTCTCCCCTGCCGCAAACTCTTCCCTCAACACCAGTGCTACTCACTGACGACAGACACAAGAGGGTAGGACAAGGTCCCCTGGATGGCGTGAGAAGCCAGAAGAGCTGCTGCTGCATCCGTGTTCTTGAAACACTGGTCTGAATCTTGAACACACTGGCGGTTGTCAATTTCCAGAAACACCTTAGAGCTGTAGGACGCCAAGGGAAGAGAGGAAAAGGGGAAATGGTGAGCAACACAGAGGGTGCCAGTCAAGGAAGTCGAGTTAGAAAGAACTGCATGGGCCTTCCTTCCTCACCTTCAGCACTGGGCTCATCATCTCTGTGATGGTGCATCCAAAAGACCTCAGAAATTAGGGTCCTGTCCCTTTGGATGCCAAACATGAATTCCCACTTGGACTACGTCTCTCCTTCCTTGGTCTGGCTGAGTCTGCGCCTCTGACTCAGGCAATGCAAGACAAAGGGAGGACCCCGGGTAAAGCTGGTCCCCATTCTCTGGGGTCTCTGCACCTGTATCTGAGGTAGCCATACAGCTGAAACTTGTGGGAAACACCAACAAATAGTGGGGTGCAGTGACCGTACAATTCATGTTTCTTACAGAGAGCCTTCTGTTACAAATGCATGGCCTTGAACAGAAGGCAAGGATTAATATAAAAGAAGAGTCATACTAAAGGGATCTGAGGCAACACTGGTGAAAGGTTACAGATTCTGGCCTTTGAGGAGGCCTTCCTGACATCCTGCCTTCTGCTTGCTCCAGCCCACCTTTCAGGGTACCAAGACCAAGGAAAACCTTGCCTTACACATACGTACTGCCATAATGGGTTTACTGTACTGGGTTGGCTGTTCTACTTGTCTGAGCTCTGCATTTTTCTATGTTCGGTTATGACTTCTGTGTGTCAAAGTACTAAGCTTTATAAGCTTTAAAAGGTTAAGAATTAAGCTTTAAGAAGTTTAAACCAAAAACCTACCCAACCACCTCCTGTTCTTGATCACCAGGAAGGGACCTGCGTGTCACCCTCTGCTTCTTCATGGCAGCGGACTTCTCACCGTAGTAGGGGTAGACCATGAGTGCCCCCTGGGAGTCCCGTTTAATCTGCAGGTTGGTACGGAGCAGGGTGCCCAGTGCCCGCAAAAAGCTGCGGGCATCCTGGAGCAGCTGCTCTGGGGGCATGAGCACCACTATAACCAGAGTGCCCTCCGCCAGGTTCTCTGGCCGGTCAGCAGCACAGTCCAACCCATCCCAGCCACACTCCTCGCTGTTGCATCCCTGGTCACAGTGGTTGTCCTTGAAGTGGTCTGCACAGTATTTGTCATACCTAGGCAGGGGGAGGTGGAAGAGGGAGAGAACAAGGGAAGGGCTCAGAACAGATGGCAGAGCTATTTGGTTTTCTGCCTGGAACTACTGGGACTTTTCTCATCTATCTTCTGTGGCCCAGATCAGGTGCCCTCACTGAATGTCCTGTCCCAACAGCACAGAGTACATATCATCTATCCTATTCAACACCAGTGAGCGCCCCCCAAAGGAGAAACAGCACTGTGGTCCCTAGGCTGCATGGCCTTAGAGCCGCCCAGGCAGCTGGTAATCTTGTGTAGTCAGATTTGTAAGCAAAGCTGCATACCTAAAACACAAATTAACCAGGTAAATGTTTCCTCTCTCTCTTTTTTTATCCACTGTCCCTGGTGAGGTAACAATGAGCTTTTGGAAATGAAAGGTGCCCCCAGGAACTGGGTACAGAGCCCTGAGCCAACAGGGCTCCAGAGAGGACCATGTCCATATGGCCCATTTCCTTCCCAAAAAAGACTGAATCCTAGCTCTGGAAGGCAAGTGGGGAGAGGTGTGTCCCAGACAAGATAACCAGATTTAAACTGTATGGCCTCTTTCAAATACTGGGAAAAGGAAATCAAGTCCCCAAACCTAAATGAGGCACACACTATTTCATCTCCACTCTCCTCCCCACTCTCACCCCTTGACAGCAGTTATGCCACTGGTGTCACCTGCCACACTGGCTCAACAAAGAGCCTGGGAGTCAGCAACAGCTGTCTGTGCTCTGGCACGTTCTCTAACCTCCCAGGTCTCAGTTCCCTCACCTGTGGAAGACCTGCTACCAGCACCTGCACCTCACAAGGCTGTAGAGCATTCACTGGGATTGATTAAATGTGACGGCTGCTCTGTAAACTAGAGAGCGCCTTGTAACCACCGCAGTGATGACCAGGAGGGTTATGTGGCCTGGTCTGGCTTAGGCCTCCTCATAAATCTAGATGGGGAAACTCTGTCAGAGGGCAAGGAATGGGGTGAAGAGACAGAAGTACAGACCTTTCCATCCATCCTGCAGGCAGGTTATGTGAGAGGCTGCCTGAGAGTGAGTACCACCACTTCCAAAAGTTATTTCCCCTAGGAGGTCGTGAGAGCAGCAGGTGAGAAGGCAGAGAGAGGCAGAGAGGGGTGGCTGTGCACGAGCATTCCCGGACCTCTGTCAGCAAGGGAGAGCACAGGGCAGCGTGCGACGGGGCAAGGCTGACACCCGGAAGAGGGCCTTGGGGCGCCAGTCTGAGAAGCAGAGGCAGCTTGGGCTGAAGCCCTGGAGTGGTTAGGAGCAAGAACGAGGAACCGAGGCATGTTAGTGACAGTCTCCCTTAGCTTCTGGGGCCCCTGGACCCTTACTTGCACGTCTTGCTGTTCCCCTGGCATTCAAAGTTGTCAAAAAGGCACTCGGCCGTGTTGCACAGCTCATCACACTGGTTGTTGATGTAATCCCAGCAGGGGAGTGGGGAAGAGCAGTTGGCCCAGGGGTCCTCCATGGTCAGGGAACAGTCGCCCCCATCCCACTGGCAGGCGTGGCTGTTGCAGGCCTCATCGCAGACGCCATCCCGAGCTTTGTCGGCACAGTACTGGCTCAGACAGGTGGCGGGAGGGGTGCTGGTGGGGGCCATGTGAAGCTCACAGTGGCTGCCCCAGAATGGTGGAGGGCACTGGCAGAAGTAATAGGGGGGCTGGCGCTGAGGGTAGCAGCTGCCCCCATGCTGGCAGGGGCTACTGGCACAGCCTGACTCGCAGTCCTGGGGGTGGGGGCAGAAGCAGCGGGGACCCGAGGCCGTGTGCACGCACTGCTCCCCCCTCCGGCACTTCACGTGTCCACAGCTGCTCTGGCATCGTGCCCCGGAGAAGCCCTGTTGAGATTGGCGAACGGATGAGGACGGCAGGCCCCACGCTCCCTCCCAATCCCCTCTCTGCCCCATCTCTAGATGGACAGACTAGACACATCTAGACACATGGCTAAGATTTCTCCATGAGCCTCTTGCACCGAGTCCTATGAAGGGGTTCCTTCAAGAGGTCCCACGAGACAAGTGTAGATGTTGCTTACTCTAAGAGCTCACTTCCAGAGAATAAGTCCACTGGTCATGGGGGATAAGACTGAGGTGCCACTGTATGTATAAGCACCTTCCCTAACATCATCAGACCACTCGCATAATGGCTTTCTGAGGGGAGAAGTTACTTCAGGGCTCTGGGTATCTCCCAGGCTTTCCCTGCCATTTCATGCTTACACTTCCATTTAGTCAGGCCAAGGTACAGCACAAGTTTCCTTTTGGTATGTCCACACACACGGTGATCTCTGTTTAGGGAGGTGTGCAGCCTCTGGCAGTGCCAGAAGAGTTTGCACAGCAAATTGCTAAAAACAGGCTTCCTCCTAGCATAACAAACAGCTTGCTCCCAAATAGGCCCTGCTAAGGAATGTAAGCAGTGTGGCATTTCCAACCAACTCTGCCCCAATCTGGGGGCAAGGCTGCCCTCAAGCACAGGAGCCAGAGGCCAGTGACACTAGCCTTGTTTTCAAGGGAACATTCCACCGCTTCCTGTGGACTTCTCTAAGTGCTTCTGAAGACTAAGAGTCACAGATTAGGGAGCTCACTGCTTCTGGAAGTATCTTTTACATGGGAAACTCTAGCACTTTTTGGTGAGGGAGCTAAAATCAAGAAATCTCCCCAGCAAGAAAGTTCCAAGTGGAGCTTGGAAAAACCAGGTTTAATCTCAGCTTTGTCCAGACCGTATGAAAGAGAGCAGACCCCCTCGATAGGCAACGTGGCACTTACCGGGGGACAACGACAAATGAAACCATCAGGCATGTTGCTGGCCACAGCACAAGTCCCCCCGTTCAGGCAAGGCATATGCGGACACACATCGACGAAAGTTTCACAGTGACGACCTCAAAGCAGAAAATGAAAAGGAGTTTTACAAGGCAGAAGTAGTAATTGCAGTATACTGAGCACCATGCTGCTGGGACGGGAGCTAGCCGAAGGGTGAGGGATGGGGCAAGAGGTGTGAGCTCAGTCCCAAGGCCAAGGGAACAGGAGAAGACGAGGGAAGCACTCAGTGGAACCCTGCCACACGACTGGCCTGCCCCTGGCTCGGGCCAGTACCCCCTTCTGTCTTGCCTACACAATAGGTACACAAGACATAGATTCCCGAACAGACTCACAAAACAAGATGGGCATGGACATGAAAAATCACTCTCATATGACCAAAACAAACAAAGAGAAGAGAGAAAGGAAGGGGAAGGGGAAGGAGGGGGGGGGAGGGGAGGAGAGGGGAGGGGAGGAGAGGGGAGGGGAGGCGAGAGGAGACCTTAGTTGTGTTTTTTTTTTTTTTTCTTTTGGAAGATAACTTTAGCTTTAGTAAGCCAAAAGAAACATTTACCAAAACTGTTCACTGTACTTTGTTACAACTGTCAACTTCACAGAGAGGCTGAGCCAGACCAGTGCATTCAAGTGCTAATTTGTAGCTTAGAAAATTTTTTCCATAATATCTCTTTTCAAGGTCCTTTTGCCTTTCTGGAATTTGATCAGCACTGCTTTAAGATACAGCTTACTATTTCTAGAGTTAATTTCTTCTAGAAACAGTTCTAAACAGAAGGCATCTCAAGACCACTGCTGTATGATAAAGTGAACTGAGCAACTGAAATCAAGGGGGAGACATGGGGGCCTGGCAGGAGGTGGGCCATCTGGCCTGCAGTCACTCACAAAGAGAAGAGGGGCTTTAAAAGGAAGTTAGGGGCACCTGAGTGGCCCAGTCGGTTGAGCATCCTACCCTTGATTTCAGCTCAGGTCATGATCTCATGGGTTGTGGGACAGAGCTGTAGATTGGGCTCCATGGTGACGGTGCAGAGCCTGCTTGGGATTCCCTCTCTCCCTCTCCGCTCTTCCCCTGCTCATGTGGATGCGGGTGCTCTCAAAATAAATAAATAAACATTAAAAAAAAATAAAGGAAATTAAAATGGTAACAACTTTGGCCAGCCAGAATTAAAAGGCAGGGTATTTATCTCTTCAAATCACAGCAGCAGCCATTATCCGAGAGCAGCGGTCACATGGACATGGGACTCAGGGACAGTCAGCCCCGCAATGTTCATCTCAGCAACAGTACCCCACAACAATTACAAGCAATGAGCTTGAGGGATTCTTTTCTTTTTTCTTTTTTTACTATTAATTTATTTTTGAGAGAGACAGAGCATGAGCAGGGTGAGGGGCAGAGAGAGGGAGACACAGGCTCCAGGCTCTGCGCTGTCAGCACAGAGCCTGATGTGGGGCTCAAACTCGTGAACCGTGAGATCATGACCTGAGCCGAAGTCAGTCGCTTAATCGCTTAACCGACTGAGCCACCCAGGAGCCCCTTGAGGGATTCTTTTCAATCACAAGTGTGGAAAATGCATTAACTCTACTTCCTGGTAGTGCGACCCTAATTCAAGGTGGTCCTTCCTTTATCTGCTTCCCCTTTCTTTGTAAGTGCTTTCAGTGTTTCTAGACAAAAGAAGCCTCAGAGGCAATGACAGAAACAGCAGCGGTTTTGCTACTCTGGTTTAGCACATCGTGGTTAATACACGGCTGTGGAGAGATGGCTCATACTCTTTCTGTCCAGCATTGCCTCAGTTGAGTGTGCTGTTCATAATGGATTCTCTTTTGATATTGCATCCAGGCACCCAGGCAAAATCCCTCCCATTCTTCATAAATTACCAAAGTTCTTCAATGTGACAGATCTTGAAAACTGGAAAGAAGGAAGTCTAGACATGGGCTGCAAATGTAGCAGAGTCCAGCTGGCAAATCAGTACTAAGTAGACTGCTGCATCCTATCATCTGTCTCCCAGGGAACACTACTACAGCACGAAGTTTAGAATGACTCCACAAATGCCAGGCAGACTTCTGAGTATGTGACAACACTGCCACAGTTGGATACTATTTTAGTGCCCCAATGTCCCTAAGCTGCCCATCTTCAGAGTAACTGATGCGTGCCTACGACAGGCCCTGTTCTGAGGCAGGGCTGGGTCATTTTTACGACGTGTGATGAAAAAGCAGCAGCTTGAGAAGAGATCTTAGCTACGCAGGTCATCCCCTGAAGCTTTCCAGAATGTACTCTCATGAATGGATTTGTGCTTAAACACCCCAATACGGACCAACTCCCCTTAGGTGACCTAGGAGATCCTAAGCTTCTCTGGGCCACAGAGGTGGAAAGAAGGTCGCTGTGGCAGTGGCTACCAGTAACCCAGGTCATTATGTGCCAAGGGAAGCAGGGTGCTGAAAGCAGGGTAGAGACAAGGGTTCTGAACATGAGACATTATCTCCCACAGACGAAGGAGCTCTATGGATGGTCTTGTGACAGCAGCATGGCAGTGTGACTGTATTTAATACCACTGAACTGTGCACTTAAAAATGGTGAAGGTGATACACTTCATGTTATGCATTTTTTACCCCTAATTAAAGTAACATTAAAAAATGTTATTTTGCTCAACCACTCCTAACATTCTATTTCTTATTTTACATTTCTGCTACAGTGTGACATAATCAATGTATAACAGAAGAGAAAGCATCTCTTAGGGGGAAAAAAGGCAGAGGTGGCCTATATCATTCATAAGCACAGACCCAGAGCAAAACTGGGCCTCTAAATTAAGCCTGTCTAGTTTTTCAGATGCAGGAAGAAGCCTCACTTGGGTCAGGCGTGACCCAGGAACCCTGCACACAAAGCCCCTTGGAGGCAGAGCGCTGGGGCGGCAGGGGGCTCTCACCGGTGAAGGTGCTGCGGCAGACGCACAGGTAGTCATTGGCCAGCTGTATGCAGTCCAGGCTGCCCTCGGAGCTGCAGGGGTTGGAGAGGCACTCGTTGATGTCTCCCTCGCACCGCTCTCCTGCAAAGCCAGGCAAGCAGCGGCAAGTGTAGCCCCCGATCCTATCCACACACTGACCACCGTTAAGGCAGTGGGGGCCACCGGCACAGTCGTCAATGTTCTCTTCACAGAGCAGGCCTGGAGGAAAGACAAGGGACAGAGGGTGGTGACAATCCTTGGAACGCTGATTTCCAGCAAAAGACAGCCACCCTGGCACTTTGCAATCGTTCAGGTCACACGGTTCCATCTGTGATGGGACTTTTTAGGTCAGGCAAGCTGAAGCACATGCCCAATCTGTGACAGCCGCCATCCTCCCGCTGACCACAAAGAGGGAAGGAAAGGGCACACTCAGTGCTTCCTGCGTTCTCGCCCACACAGCCCACCAAGGCAGTACCCCATGAGGTGGCTGGTGTCACTTGTACCACCTGAGAGACCAGGAAACTGGAGTTCAAGAGAAACCCATGAGTTTTCATTAATTTACCCCTTTCATTCTAACTATAAAAACAGTTAAAAAGAGATTTTAACAATAAATACATAAATTACAAGTATGGGAAAATATAGGTAAGAATGGAACTAACTTTTGAGTTATATGTTTTAAGCTTTGGACCCACTGACTTTTTTCTGTAAAATAATGTGTACTAGTTACTTATTTTTTAAAAATATAGGGAAATATCCTATTGAGAGCTCAAAGTTATTCCATTTAAAACAGAACTCATTTAACGTTCTGTAGATGTAAATGTGGCATCTAGTAGGAGTTTCTAAATATTTTTGAGAAAGTACAAAAGAAATCAATGAAAACTCTAGAGGTGGTTCCATGAATGATTCAAAAAATTACCAAAGAGGGGTGCCTGGGCAGCTCAGTTGTTCAAGTGTCTGACTCTTCATCTGAGCTCAGGTCATGATCTCACGGTTTTGTGAGACTGAGTCTTGCATCAGTGTGGATGGAGCTTGCTTGGATTTTCTTTCTCCCTCCCTTTCTCTCTGACCCTCTCCTGCTGTCTCTCTCTCAAAATATATAAGTAAACTTTTATAAAAAAATTACAAAATAAAGGAGAACAGTTCTGTATTCTTGCCACTTGCATTTGTAGCAAACACTAATATAAGACTATTAAAAAGGAAAAAGAAAAATGGAGGAAAAGACCTCATTTTCAATAGCAATAGCCAAAGACAAATTATAGGAATATTGTTTTTTTCTAATATTTATTTTGAGAGAGACAGAGAGCAAGCATTTCAATTATAGGAATTATCTTAAAAAATGTACTACACATTTATATGAAATTTCATGAAAATTTATATGATTTTATATAAAAATATACATGAAAGTTTATATGAAAACTGTAAAATAGTCTTAAAAGACACAAAAGGGATCTGAATAAATGAAAAGATGTTATGATTTGGTTAGGAAGACTCTTCATTGTAAAGATGCCAGTCTTCCCTACACAAATTCATAAATTTAATGCCATTAGGATTTTTTTAACAGACAATCTGATTCTGAAATTATATGAAAAAATAAACTATAACCATGGCCTGGAAAACCTTGGAAACAAAGATCCTTAATAATTAAAAGAGTGGGACTGATAAATTAATAGAACAATAAAGTAAATATAGTCTAGAAAAAAATGCCCAAATACATATGGGAATTAAGAATTTGATAAAGGCACCACCTCAAATGACTGTATAAAAGATCAAATATTCTGTAAATTGTGTTGGGACAAATTAGCAGCCGAATGGAAAAAACGCTCCAGTATTCTAGTGCTTGAAGAAAATATGGGAGATTTCCTTATATTCTTACAGAAGATGTTCCTGACTAGGATTCCAAATCCAGAAGCCATTAAAAAAGGATGATAATTCCAATCTGATTAAAAATAAAGAGCTCTGGGGCGCCCGGGGGGCTCAGTCAGTTAAGCATCTGATTCTTGGTTTTGGCTCAGGTCATGATCTCATGGTTTGTGGGATCAAGCCCCACACCAGGCTCTGTGTTGACAATGCAAAGCCTGCTTGACAGTCTCCCTCTCTCCCTCTCTCTCTCTGCCCTCCTCTGCTCTCAAAATAGATAACCTAAAAAAAAATCTTTCAAAGAAAAAAATTAAAAGCTCTGCATGAAAAAAAATCATAAAGAAAATGAAAGACAAAAAACAATGTATTGAGAATGTTTTGTATCATAGATAATCTCTGTTAAATATTAAGATGAACAATGTAATAGGAAAAAAGGATATAGTTACAAACAGAAACCACTGAAAGAAGAAAACCAAAGGATTCGTAGATGAAAAGATGTTCATCCACACTGCGGAGAAGAAAGTATGCTCATACACTGCACTTCAGTGTCAACCAAAACTACAAATGTGCATACTCTCTAATCCAGCAATTCCATTTCTGAAGATTTATCTACAAATGTACATATCCAAGAAACACCAAATTCCTATCACTAGGGCACTGGTTAAATCAACTATAGTATGCTAAAAGGGAATTCTGTAGGATGAAAAAGATTAAGGAAGTTCTACAAATTGTTATGGAAACATATCCAATTAAGTAAAGAAAAAAACATCAAGTGCAAGAGTGTATCTAATAATATATTATTTTCAGAGTAAGAAGTAGGGTAAGTAAAAAAAACCTTTGTATTTGACTTCTACATATATAAGGAAATTCTGGAGGATACATAAAAAACTCTAGAAAGATACACAAGAAATAAAATAAAGTAGAGGTTACGTGTTGGTGGGAGAGAGAGAACTAGGTATGGGGAAGGGGACAAAAGGAGACTTCTCACCTTATGCTTTTGCTACATGTGTGTATATTTGTTGTGTGTGCATCTCTATATAAAATTTTGGACCATGTGCATATTTTGCCTATTTGCAAACTAAATCAAAAACACAAAAGTAAAGAACAAAACCCCACTCTCAGAGAGTATGTGGTAATTAGGGACTGCTAGTAAAATGAATGCTGAGACCTACCCTCCCATCAGAACTGGACCAGCAGTAGCTATCAAGTGACGATGAGCTCAACCTGAGCCGGGAGCAAAACCACAGAGACAGGCAGAGTAGTTAGCCCCTGACCTGGAACTGGAGTGCCCCCAGGCCAGGATCCAAAGGTCAGGAGTATTGAAATAACAACCATCTGTGATAACTCTCACAACGAGCTTGTGGGACCTGACAGTGTCCCCAGTGTTTACCTATGGCCAAAGAAGTCCAGCCAAGAGGAGTAAATACCACTCTACACACCTAACCAAGTACACACAGTATGATAACTCAGTGAATTCTAAGGATGATAAATTCATAGAGATCTACACCCACACACATCATAACCAAACGGTCCTAAGACAGAATTTTGAAAGTACCAAGGAAGAAGCAACTTATCCCACACAAGAGATCCTCAATAAGGATTTCTCATTAAAAACCAAAAACCTAGAGGTCAAAAAGCAGTTGGATGACATATTCAAAGTACTGAAAGAAAAAGACTGTCAATAATAATAGCAAGACTATTGTTTAAGCCATCCTTAACAAACAGGAGAGGGAACTTTTTTTTGCCTTCTGAAATGGTCCATTCTAAGACTGACATCTATAATCTGTAAAATGTTTATGGTACAGTACAAATCTTAGTGTGTGACACATATCCATGTGCGTTCCCACATTCCCAGTCTCCCTGGGAGTTAGGCTGAGACCTTTATGCTCATTCTGGCCGATGTAGTGTGAGCAGTAATGTGTGTCACGTCTGACTGAGGTAGTGAGAGCTGCTATGTGCCCCTACAAGCGTGTCTCCTCCTCTGCCCTGGAGGCCCTGAGGCCAAGTGCTTGCAACCACATATCTAAAATAGAGAGAGAGGTAGCTCAACATTCTCAGACTTGGAATGACAAACAAAACCTAAAGACAAAAAGTGAAAAAAACAAAATATTGTTGTGTTAAACCACTGAGATCTGAGATTTAATCTGCTACTACCAGAATCAGAGCTTATCCCAACCGATAAAATTACTAAAATTACTAAAAGGAACAAACTAATTATGAATCAGAATCACTTCTTCTCTTTCAATTATTGATTTCTAGAGCAGAGAACAACTCACCTTTGCACAGGACAAATCTTCAAATTTGTTTCTCTTGAGTTTTCTCTTCCTCTTTAACCTCATTGCTCAATGACTAGCCTATTAGTGGCTATTTTAATTTAGCCAAATTCTGTTTTAATTTAGCCAAATTCTGAACTCAAGGAAGGTAAATTGTCAAAATTCATGGACACAAAGACCTAAGTGTAAATACTTCCTGACATTCTACTCTCTTTGACACTGAGAATGAATTTCACCATTGTGGATGGCTTCAACATTTTTTTTTTACAGGCAGATCAGACAGGTACGGTTATAAGTACACCTCTTCTAACAAACAATACTCCAAGCTCTCCCCAGAAGATTGTTTGGAAGCAGGGGCAATGCCCACAGCAGACGGATGCCCCATCACTCAGTCTAGGGTTGGACTCCATAGGCTTGACTGTAATTCTTAGTTGCAGCCGTAAGCCATCAGCTTCCTCCTTTGGGCTTATGAAAATAAGCTAATGTTTTCATTTCATTCATTCCCTCACCTTATGAAGGCAAAACTTGGCAAGTTTAAAAAACAAACAAGTAAACGTGAATTCTTTATTCCAGAGACCGCTAGTTATTTTTCCTTGAAGTACCGAGCAATCTTGCCAAGCAGGCTGATTTTGCTGCAACACTAGACCATTTCCACATTCTGTGCCTCATGGAATATCAGATGTCAACAACCACCGGATGGAACTGAGAACATGAGTCAGATCATCAGAGCAAGGCAAGAGAGGAGAATGAAATGGCTTGAATTACCGGAATCTAGAAATAAACGGTTAATTTTGAAAAACATCTTCTACACTACAAATGGACCTATGACTTAAGAAAATGCGATAGATGGAGGACGGGTAGGGCTGACTTCATACCTCGAGTGCCTGGTGGACAGGAGCACTTGAAGTGGTTCACAAGGTCGACACAGGTGCCTCCGTTCTGGCACGGCTGATTCTGGCACTCATCTACTTCATACTCACAGTTGACGCCCTGATACCCTGGGACGCACTAACAGGAACAAGCACAAGGGAAGAAACATTCGAGCATTGCTGGCAACAGAGCACCAGGGCAGATGAGGTCTCCAGGGCTGCTATACACCTGGGCTCACTCCAGCCCTACCCAGCTCTTACATGCTTCTCCGGCACCGTCACACGCCCTACCAGTCATCCTGTGCACGGCCAACTTGCAGTTTATCCCACGTTACATCTTCCAGCTAAAAAGCCACCTTGTGGCAAAGACTGAATATTCTGAGGGATATTTTAGAGTTGACCCCTTGCAAAACTCTCATTGCTCCTCTTATGCAGGTTTTCCCACCTTTACAATATGCACTCCTTGCTTTGTGATGAGGACCCTATAACTCAGTCCAATGGTATGTGTGGACAGTAGTAAACACACTGCATTTACTGATCTCTAGATTCAGGAAACCACATGTATGTGTGAGAAACTAGTTGAGATGGGTGGGGTGTGCAGTGCTAGCTCATGTGGGGCTTGAGGGATTTCAGGGCTGATCAAGGGAAAAAGACCTTGACCATGAAGTGGCTTTATTGGGCAATGCTTTGACAGGTTTGCATGCGAGGGCATCCCTCACAGCACGAGGCTGTCCAGAGCAGGGAGGAGGGTAGGGAGATGAAGGCAAGTGAATTCCAAGGGAAGGGGGTAGCAGAGAGGGGGCATACACATTTGGTGAGGTCACTCAGCAGCCAGGCCAGAATGCCTGGGTCAGAGAGCTCTGAAGGGCAACACTGGCTTGGGGTCATTATGGCCTGGGGCTTACCTACGGCTCGGCTCGCAGATGTTGGGTAGTTTTGCAAAATACACAAAGCAGGAAGGCTTTAAATGGCTAAAAATCTGCTCATGAGGGCTATTTTCAAAACAACTGAATGTGTAAAAATTTGAGTTTGGCACTGGTGGCTTTGAGCTAATGGGTCCCAGTCTGCTGGGAAGAAATAACTGCAGGGACAATATAAAGAGGCCATCTATGGTTCATTTATGAGAAGTAAAGCTTTTCTCGGTGTTCTTGGGTGGCCTGAATTGGTATCAAATTCAAGTCTCTGGTGTTCTGTTAACATCTTGCTCTAATCGTTATCAGCCCAGCCATTAGGAAGATAGTAACATTTCCTTAAGACACATACTTCCTCAAATACATACATGTAATACTTAGTGTGATGCCACACCGAACAGGCTAAGCAACTTGGGACACACCTCAAAGTGGCTTTTCCTATCGCAGCTGCTATTCAGGGAAGTACCAGGGGCCCCTGAGATGCTGGCCTGTGAAATACACACTGGCTCTGAATGTTGGCTCTGAATCCTAAGGCAACTCTGTGGAAGTGAGATGGTTCCAGACCTTTATGCTAACTTATTACACAAGAGAACTGAAAGAAAGGTGATTAGTAAACAATGTAATGGTGATTGGTTAAAAAAAATGATAAATTGTAAAACTAAGTCCTAAGCAGCTAGATTCAGTATGCTAGGGCTCACAATAGCTGCGCCACCTTGGGGAGGTCTCTGACCTCTGCCCGCCCATCTCACCTCACACCTATAGCCGCCAATGAAGTCCCTGCAGGTGGCTCCATGTTGGCAGGGGTTGGACGAACACTCGTCAAGCTGCTCCTCACAGTAGCTGCCAGTGTAGCCCAGCGGGCACTGACAGTGGTGCGAGTTGCCGGCATTGATGCAGATGCCGGAGTGCTGGCACAGGTGGTCAGTGGACACCCCTAGGAAACCCAGAGCATGACAGACATCACGGAAGAGCACACAACACATCAGGTTCAGACCAACTAACTGTGCTCTTGTATACTTTAGCATGCTCAGCAGCAGATTTATATAAAAAAATAAATCAGCCCTGAAAGTGGAATACGCCTTAGTTTCATTTTAAATACATCTCTTTTTGAAATCTCTAAGTCTGCACCTCTGCCTTTCACCTTCTGTCTCAGACACTGTCTGTAGAGCCTTCCCACCCACCACTGTCCGCTCTTTCCTCTCATCCCATAACAATACCTGCCCTAAAACACTGCTAGTCAGCTGATACTTCGGGGAGCGACCCGTGCCCATGGGGGCATAGCTCACCTCTGTGGAAAGCCGCCACCTCGCAGGACACATTGGGCACGTCGCAGTAAGCACCGGCCCATCCAGATGGACACAGACACCGGGACTCTGCTTTTTCCTGAACGCAAGTACCTTTGTTTTTACATGGAGACCGACTACAGAGGTTCACCAGGGTCTGAAAACAGAAGCATATATATACATCAGTATCCAAATACCAGAAAAGAAAATAAGTCACACTGCATTTTAAGAATCAAAGGAAGGCACACTAATTTAAAAAATAAATAAATAACGAAAATAAAATAAAATAAATATAAGAGCCCTCACTCAAGCTTTAAAACACTCCAATGTTCCCAGGTAATTTCATCATTTTATATAGTCTAATTCCTCTGGCTCTACTATTTAAAGAATTATTACAACAGAAGCTTAAGAATTTGAGGGAATCTAATCGGTTAAGTTATTCCCTTATGTTATGATTACGTCCAAATCTGTGGCCACCCTGTCAGGCCAGAAAGAAAGAAAAGTTACAGCTATCAGGTCTATAACACCTGTGCTAATCCTGTGGGACAAATCTACAGGGGTCTCAGTCAAATCTGTCCATGGTGGAGATGAGTAAAAGGACTTAAAGCCTATTAGTAAACCTAGAAGGTGCTACAGAGCTTACTTGGAGGGAGAAAATCAAGCTTATGAAAAACATGAGGCAAAGAATGTGAGCAGACTAGTCCCTTTCTCCATAACTCACATGTGGTGACCTGAGCCCCGGGCAGAGCAAGGTCACACTCACAATATGGAGTGTGCGTGGAAGAAGGGCCAGTGGGTATGGGTGGAGTGTTCTCTTGGCACACGTAACCTCACACTGAGAATGAGCAAAAGCCCAAGGAGGAACGTCCTCTGATCCACATAGTCAGCAAGAATCTGTTTAATATTCAGTGGTGGTTATCTGTGAGACTAATACAGCCAAAACCTTATTGAAGTGCATGCTGTAAGGCCAGTTAAATTTGGCCACTTAATCCTGAATTCTTTGGAGTTCTGTTATTCTACCATTCCATTGTTGTTTAAAAGGTAAAAACAGCATTAAAATTAAGCATAATGCTGTTCGGTGTGCAACCTCGGAAAGGTTCCTTTGCCCCTTTGGGACTTGGTCTCTTCTTCCATGAAATGAAAAGCTGCCCTAGTTGGCACTGAGAGGTCCTTGCATCCTGAGAGTATATGAAAAGTATATTTATATATTTGAATTTAAAAGACATGTGACTAACTTGGTTTTGAGAATGCTGCAATACTGCAAGATATGGTGATTATGATTATTATCCCCTTAGATACTGTATCTGATCTTTAAGGACTATTTTTATTATTCTTTACTTCCCTTTTTGTATTTCCAACATAAAAACTATCTATGTGCTTATTTCCCACATGTATTTTTCTGTAGTTCTTGGTTAGCCTGTTACAACAATCTTAACTCTTGTTAATCTGTATAATCTTGCCAATGTCACCATTTTGGAATCTTTCAGTTATTAAGAAGTTATGCAGATTTATCTCAAAGGCATTCCCCCATGAGAGCCAGAATTTTCAGAAGGGGCTTATTCTGCTTAGAAGAGAAGTGTAATATCAGTGGAGTGGGATGAAAGGTAATTACCTGACAGTTTTTCCCAGTGTAACCCAAGGGGCAGGTACAGCGGTAGGTACCCAGGCCATCGACACATATTCCTTCATTGAGGCATGGATGAGAGTTGCATTCGTTGATCTCATGGAGGCAGAAGGGGCCAGTGAAGCCCACAGGGCACAAGCAAGAGAAGGAGTTAATCCCGTCGACACATGTGCCACCATTGAAACAGGAGCTGAAAAGCAGAGAGAGCATGTCCAGGTATGTAATCTGGTTCCTCACACCTGCTCCTTAAAGTAAGGTTCGTAGAAGCTAACACATTACAGAGGCAAATACTCCTGAGCATCTTAAACTCCTAGATCTAGTAAATTTTCTTTTTCCACATTACACTGAGCTCCAATCAGCCTCCCAGTTTCCTTTCTACAACCAAAAAGTTCAGAGCATTGAAAAGTCCGAGTTTATTAGAGATTCCCAGAGAAAGTGCAGGTTTCCAGGTTTTACTCAGTCCTTCTGTGGTTTTCCATGTATCACACTGCATTTTATCCCTAAGTCAATTTAACTTATAAGAAAAGTGCTAAATAAATAGCTCAAGTCCAGATTTCTTTCTAAAAGAGAAACAGGATAAACTTGTTGGAATAAAAAAGAAAAGAAATAAACCACCCAGTAATCACTAAAGAGTGATGACAAATCTGTGAAGAAATAGGAATTTTTAAGTTGTCGACTGAAATGAACAAGAGACCAAGAGGAGAATGGAGCAGAGTTTTAACTCTTTCTGTTTCCAAGCATTAGAAATAAATGAAGACCCATCCCACTAAGCTTTTCAACCTCTGACCTCACACCTGCTATCTACACACCCATATGGAGTCAGGAACTGGTTAGTAGGAGAGGGCTGTGGAATGGGACCCAAGTGGACACCTTATCCCCGGCCCTGCAATCGCAGCACTGTGCTCTGTAGTTTTCCCTCCTTTCTCCCTTTTTCCCATAAGACACTGGCGCCCGTACATCTGGGTTGCTCACCTCTCAGTGCACTCATCGATGTTGTTCTCACAGTGGACTCCATCAAATCCAGCCTGGCACTTGCAAGTGTAACTGTTGACATAGTCGGAGCAGGTCCCTCCATTCTTACAGGGTTCACTCAGACACTCATTCATGTCTGTCTGACACTTATCCCCAATAAAGCCAGGATGGCACAGGCAGGAGAAAGTATTCACTCCATCTACACAGGAGCCTCCATTCTGGCAAGGATCTAAGTCATTACACATAAGAATTAGAGCTCTGAACTGCAGCACCAATTTCATCTTAGACCTAGAAAGGTGAGCGACCTGAACCGAGTCACACTAGTAACAGTAACAATTCTGCCTTTTCTCTACTTGAACTTTTCTTTACATCTATTTTGCCTCAACTCTTCCATTTACAAAACTGAATGCAGTTAGCACTTGCCTGAGATTCTTAATCTGTTTGATAACTGGACTGAACTATACATACACCACTAACAGTTTTGCAAAATTAACAGTCCTCAAACTTGCATTGGTCCCCCACATACTGCTAATCAAATATGTGTCCCCAATACACACAATCTCAAAACTATCAGTAAAATTTTTCAAAAGGTGCATGTGGTGATGGAGTGGGTATGGTAGGAAAGGATATATACTAATCAGCCCCCTGTGCTGATCACTCTCTCTTTCCTTTCTTTTCCCTCTCCCTTCCCTCCCTTCAACTTTCCTTTCCTTTCCTTCTCTTTTCTTTTTCTTGTTTTGTTTTCTAGATTTAGGTAGAATTAGGAAACATTAAAAAAATTTAAATATCACACAGCTCAATCTTAGAACACTTTAGATTCATAGCAATTAGTCAATAAATTTTGAGCTACTATCATGGCATGGTCCTCTGAAATACAGATGGCATATAAATCAGAACAAGAAAAATAAGAGGTAAATCCTGCTCTTGAGGACTTTAAAACAGAATTGCAAAGACAGGTTACATGTGTAAAAAGAGAACTAAACATCAGGTGGGTAATGTAGCCCCTTTTTATAAGTGGAGTATTTTTTTTTTTTACCTTATTTCATCTATTAGGCTAATCCTACTCTAAAGGCTCATCTGTAATTTTTACTGGAAAATTTGTAAAAATAATATTATCTCTTCTTATCCACAGTACATAGCACACAGCTACTGTAACTTCCATAACATCTTTCAGAAAACTCACCATGATTTACAGGGTTATTTTAGGCTAATTGTAAATATTGCCAGTTTTACTTCAAATAGGAAAAATTTTAAATACTAAAAGTTTTGGCTGATATAATAAGTAAGCGGAAAAGGAATCCAAATAATTTTATTTCACTCCCTTAAATTTCTCCATCAACTATGCTATGGACTTATTTTTCTTCGCTATTTCCTACACAGTGTTGAACTTGTCTATGTATCTCTGTTTTTTTTTTTTTTTCTAATATACTATGAATTTCATGAATGTAAGCACTGGGTTTTATCTATTTTGGCACTGCCAGGACCTAGTTTGGTGCCATCCACATGATGATCTGAAATTACTATGCTGTGAAGTAGGTGCCATTATTCTTAACTCATTGTGATAACCTTGTTTGAAGTTTAATGACTTAATCACTACACAAATAACTGAGTGTAGATAAGCAGTGTGTGCTATTAAGTAACTGAGTATATCACATGCATATGATGAAACTATTAAAGCTGAGAAAAGAACCAGAAAAAAGTAGGCAGAACAATCCTAAGAGTTTACACTAGGCTGAGAATAGCTCATGTCCATGACAGGCAAAATGAAAAGACCTCCTAACTAAGCACTAAAGACGATCCTCAGCAAGTACTGTCTCAGTAGTAAGCCATTTTATCCCTAGACTAAAGGCTGTTCTGGACCTAACATATCCTGAAGACCCAAAATGATCAAACTGTTTCCAAATGATCCTTAAACAAAGCTTCAAAATATTCTAAAGATTTTTTTTAAAGTCTAGTATTCAATCAAAAATCACCAGGTGAGCAAAGAAGCAAGAAATATAACTCACGATAAGAATAAAAAATCAACAACAGAAACATATCCAGGAATTTCCCATATGGTAGAATTAGTGTGAGGACAATAAAACAACTATGATAAATATACTCTGTATGGTCAAGAAGAAGAAAGCATGAATATAACAAGGAGAGAGATAAAGTTATAAGAAAGACTCAAATCAAACTTCTAGAGATAAAAATACAATGAAGAGGAAAATATATACTGGATGGGATTAACAGCAAACAAAACACTAAAGAAGAAATGTTTATGGGAATTGAAGATATATCATAATATTGTCAAATAATAAAATTATCTAAAATGAAACACTGAGGAAAAACTCTAAAAAAATAAGCAAAGTAGTGTGTTGGTGAGTAGGGAGGTAATTTTAAGCAACCTAAAAAATGTATGACAAAAGTTGTAAAGGAGAGGCAAAAAGGTCTTGAAAAAACAGTGGTTGAATATTTTCTGAATTTGGACCCATATATCCAAAAAAGTCAATGAACCCAAACAAAAGGAACATGAAGAATAATGAAGGGCATCATAATCAAATTGCTAAAGCTCAGTGGAAAGAAAATATCTTAAAAACAGCCATAGGAGAGTAAATAACATATAGAAAAACAAATATAAGAATTATTGCAGAATTCTCCTCAGAAATAATGCACAGCAGAAAACAATGGAAAGATGACTTGAAAGTGCTGGAGGGAAGAGTCGACTTGGAATTCTACTCCCTATGAAAATATTTTTGAAAACTAAGGCAAAATAAAAACCTTTTCAAAAACACAAAAGCAGAAAGAATTAATCACTAGGAGGTAAGCACTACCAGAAATATTAAAGGAATTTCTTCAGGCAGAAGGAAAATGAGACTTTATGGAAATGTACATCTATGGCTAAGCATGAAAAACACGAAGAGCTGTAAATATGTTGTAAGTATAAAGGCTGTTAATTTATTTTTTAAGTTACTTGATAAATTGGTGACCATTTGAAGCAAAAATAAAGTTTTGGGGGGTTTATGATACATATATGAGAACAAGAGAACAGAGGGCAGGAGTATAAATTTAAAGTCAACTGTTGTAAGGCTTTTATGTACTATACAAAGTATTACAGTTGAAGGTAAATTTTAATGAGTTAAAGTTGCATACTACAAACTCAAAATGACCACCAAAAAATAAAAATATGCCAGTGAAGAAATAAAATGTAATCATAAAAATGCTCGATTATTCCAAAAGGAGGGGAAAAAAGAAGGAAAAATAAAAGTAAAATGAAAAATGGCAAATATTCAACTCAGTCATATTGCCATCAACCATTAAATTTAAATGGCATGAACATCTCAATTAGAAGACAGACAACATCATATCGAGGAGAAAAAGCAAGACTCAATATATGCTCTCCATAGGAAACATACTTTAAAGATACTGATAGGCCAAAGTACAAGGATGGAAAAAATATATACTCTAACAATAATCTAAAGAAAGGTAAGGAGGTTTCAGAGTAAGAAATATTAATTACAAGGGTAAACAAGGTCATTTCATGACAAGGAACTCAATTCTTCAAGAGGAAATAATAATCTTAAATGTTTACATACTTATTATCAGAGCTTCAAAATACATTAAGGAAAAACTGATAGAATTACAAGGAGAAATAGACAAACAATAATAGTGACAGATTTCAATACCACTCTGTGAATAATTTATACAATTAGCAGAAAGAAAATCAGAGAAGACCTAAAAATACTATTAACCAATTTGATTTAATAGCATTTATAGAACACTCAACCAAAAAACAACGAAATAGACATTCTTTTCAAGTGCATACAGAATACTTACCAAAACAGACCACAGACTAGGCCATAGACATGCTTTAATGCATTTTAAATAATTTTAAATAATTATTTTAAATAATCCGAAGGATGAAAAGTATGTTCTCTGATCACAATGGAATTAAACTAGATATCAAGAACAGAAACTATCTGGAAGGAATCAGCAACAAAAGATACTTGGAATCAGGGACAACATGGATGGAGTTAGAGTATCATGCTAAACAAAATAAGTCAGTCTGAGAAAGACAAATATTGTATGATTTCTCTCATATGAGGAATTTAAGAAAACAAGTGCATAAAGGGAAGAGAGAGAGAGAGATAGTGAGAGAGACCGAGAACCAGACTCTTGACCCTAGCACTTAATGCCTATTATTCTTTAAAGTCTAAAAAGAAGCAAAAACAAAACAAAACAAAAAAACTTTAAAACTCATACCACATGTAAAAATTAACTCAAAATAGATTCTGGAATCATGGAAAGAGCCTAAATGTCCATCAACTGATGAATGGATCAAGAAGATGTGGTTTATCTATACAATGGAATACCACATGGCAATGAGATAGAATGAAATTTGGCCCTTTGTAGCAACGTGGATGGAATTCAATGGAACTAATTATGCTGAGTGAAATAAGTCAGGCAGAAAAGGACAGATACTACATGTTTTCACTTACAAGCAGAACAGGAGAAACTTAACAGAGGACCATGGGGGAGAAGGGGAAAAAATAGGTGGGGAGAGGGAGAGAGGCAAACCATGAAAGACTCTTGAATACTGAGAACAAATTGAGGGCTGATGGGGGTGGGGGAGATGGAGAGGGAGTGTGGGCATGGAGGAGGGCACTTGTTGGGATGAGCACTGGGTGTTATATGGAAACCAACTTGACAATAAACTATGAAGGAAAAAAAATAAAAAATTAAATTAAAAAAATTGATTGTGGACCTAAAGGTCAGTGCTAAAAGTATAAAACTTTTATTTTTTATTTTTAAAGTTTGTTTGTTTAGAGAGTGTAAGTCAGCAGGGGAGGAGCAGAGAGAAAGGTAGAGAGAGAATCCAAAGCAGGCTCCGCACTATCAGCAAAGAGCCTGATGCAAAGTTTGATCCCACACACCAGGAAATCATGACCTAAGCTGAAATAAAGAGTCAGACACTTAACCAATTGAGCCACCCAGGCGCTCTGAAAAGTATGAAACTTTTAGAAGAGATCAAAGGAGATCAACCTCAGTGACATTGGGTTAGGCAAAGGTTTGTTAAATAAGATACAGGAAGATGAACTATGAATGAAGATTATGGATATACTGAAATTCATCAAAATGAAACTCTTCTTCTTCAAAAGAAAAACAAAACAGAAGCTACAATTGGGAGAAGATAGTTGTAAGGCAAATATCTGACAAAGAATCTGTATTTAGAATTCCGTAAGACAGACAATCCAATTTTTCATGTGGTGAGAAATTCTGAATAGACATTATATAAAGTAAACATATGGCTGACCAAGAGTAAATGAAAAGATCAAAATCACTAATAGGTAGGGAAATACAAGGTAAAACCATTGTGAAATACCATACACAGCCATTACAAAGGCTGAAATTAATGACAATCATACCCAAGTGTTCTTGAGGATGTGGTTCAACTGGGTCTCTCAAACAGCGTTCATGGGAATATGAACAGAGAACCACCTTGGAGAACATTTTGGCAATTTTGTGAAAAGTGAAACATATATCTACTACATAAGTCAGCTATTCCACTCCTAAATATCTACACGAGAGAGTATTACTTTATTTACAACATCCCAAAACTTTAAAAAAAGCTGTATGTCCTACTAGTGAATTAAAGTGTATCCAAATAATGGAATATGACTTAGCAAGAAAACAGAATGAATTACTAATACACAGAACATAGATGGGTCTCAAGTAATATGCTAAATGATAAGTCATACTCCCTCTCTCCAAAAAAGTTTGCATTAGATGATTCCATTTATATAAAATTATTAAAAATGCAAATAAATTTGTAGTGACAGATGTAGATCCCTTGCTGCCTGGGACATGGAAGGGGGAGGAAGGAAATTACAAAATTAAAAATTTTTAGGAGGATGGATATGTTCATTATCTTTACTGATGGTTTCAGTTGTCAAATGTCAAAACTTACTGATTTGTACATTTAAAATACTGGTAGTATATTTTATACTAATTATACCTCAATAGATCTGCTTTAAAAAAAAAAAAAAGCTATCATAGCATTGTCCCCACTATGTCAGTGTACAAAAATCAGTTAGGGGCTGCTTAAAGAGATTCCACTGCCTCAGCTCCTAAAGCTACTAGCCTTGAAAAGAAGATTTAAAAAATGCTAATATTGGGGAGCCTGGGTGGCTCAGTCAGTGAAGTGTCCAACTCTTGATTTCGGCTCAGGTCATGATCTCATGGTTCACCGGATTGAGCCCCACATACTGTTCTGCGATGACAGCACAGAGCCTACTTGGGATTCTCTCTCTCCCTCTTTCTCTGCCCCTCCCCTGCACATGCACGCAGCTCTCCTCCCCTGCCGTGGAAAAAATAAACATTAAAAACACTAATACTAATATTGAAGACCTGGTAAAGTGTTGGAATGGGCAGTCTTGGCACTGAGAGGCAGCTGCCTCAACTGGGCTCTGTCCTGCTGCCTGTGAGCCTCAGGGGGCCCAGGAACTGGCATACTCACTGGCAAGGCAGTCATCGATGTCCTCCTCACAATCCATACCACTGAAGCCTGGAGGACACTCACACATGTAGCTGCCCTGGGTGTTATGGCAGAGACCGTGGTTCATGCAAGGCTTAGAGACACACTCATCAATGTCAATTGTACACCGCTGACCTAGGAACACAGGGGCAATGAATAGTCCTGTCTTTGGAAGGTGAGTTCTACAGAAATGTATGGGGGATCCAAGCTTCAGCCGGGGTAGATGGGTATACTCTGGTTGGTCTCCTACTTTGGGAAGCTTTTGGCACAAAATTATGTGGGGCAAGTTATTGCCCAGGGACTGAGGACATCATGGTTTCAGACTCAGGCTGGAGTCTTCCAGCCACTAGGGGGCCCCCAAAGACATGAAAATGAAAAAGCTTTCTGGGTCATTCCTGTACAGAGCCAGTGTTCTTGACAACAAGCAGGCCTCAGAAGGCCTGGGCCTTCCATGTTAATCTGATGATCTGACCACTTTGTTTAAAGCTTCTGGTTTCTCTAACTCCCATGTTATTACCTTGCCAGCCAGGGGCACATAGGCAGGTGTAACTCTCAAAATTTGGTGCCTCTTTGCAAATCGCAGCATTCTCACATGGGTTTGGGGAACAGGGAGCCAACACAGTCTGACAATTCTTGCCTGTAAAGCAAATGACAGAATTTAGAGAAACAGCCGAGGAAACTGAAATTTTGCAAACTCTGAATTCAAGTCTAAGGTAGCAGTTAAGAGCTTTGGAATCTGAGAGACCTATGGCCCTCCTCTGAGTCTTGGCTCTAACTTGGTTGCTAACTGTGTGACCTCAGGCAAATTACAGGATGAGAAATAGGATGGTATGTAACACAGAGAGGCTTTTTGAGGAGTAAATGGAAAAAAAATGTTTATGAAGTCTTCACTAGCACAGAGCCTGGCATGTAGAGTGAGCACTCAACAATAGCTGGGCTGCTCTCACCCTTATTATCATATGTGGTCACATGGACTTGGACACCTGTGTCCATCAAGAACGTAGTTTCTGCATCCCCACAGCTAAGAGCCAGCCACTCAAAAGCTCAGCCACACAGATCCTCCTTCAGGAAGCGGCAACAACACAGCCCCTACTCCTTACCACCTCTGCTGGCCTGTTCCAGAAGGCAATGGAGTTGATCAGAAGGCCATGGGAGGTAGGAAACGGTGAAGGTATCCTGATTACCTAGTAACATATCTCCTTATACCAATATCAACAACACGGCATTGATATTTGCACACCAATATTTCCTGCCTCAGCATACTAAATATAAGCTTCTGGCATGGTGGGGGGGGGGGTAGGAGGGGGTAGGAAAGGAATGCTTTTATTCAAAGGAGATGAGGGTGTTTTTAAAGTCAAGTTACAGCTAACTCAATTTAAAATTCAATCCTAAAATCGGAAAGAAAAAAAAATCACCACAAATGTTCACCAACATACTCAACCAGTTTTTAAGGAATCTGGGTCAGCAGAGTGGCTCACTAGGGAAGGCAACGTTGCTTAGTTCTCTTCCCAGTGGCAAAGCTCAGTGATAGGACCCTTAGCTACACTCAGCACTAAAATTTTATTATGCACAGGCTTGCAGTCTCATATAACTTCCCAAAGTTCACACATAGTAAATTCTTTTATTGGGATCCTAATCTGAAGAAAAACCAATAGCCAGCATATAGTCAAATATTCTTATGGTATCTTTAGCAAGATAGATAAAATAAGTACTTGCAAGATGAGCTGAACACCTAAATCACACTCAGGTAAGCCTATGCTGAGACTGAGGATAGTGACACCTGCTTATATCTCTCTGCAGCCATCAAGTCTCAGTCGTCATGGCTGGGAAATACTATTAACAAATGTGATCAGCACTGTCATTATGAAATGCATTATTTAGACTTCCTTTGTCTGGGGATAGCTAGGGATCTCCAGCAACCTTGATTTTTATCTTTGAGGCTGACTAACTGCTATTTGCCTACATGAACATTTTTTCCCAAGAGGGGCAAAGGTAACAATGTAGCATTAATAAGTCCTTCAGGTAACAGTTGCGGTTTTGGCTATTCTGCCACTCTAAACAGCTGCAGTCACTAGTAACAGCTACTACTAATAGCCCACCAGGGGAGTAAGAATCCAGCCATGCTCTTGTCTGCATGCTGCGTACCATACCAGAGAAACATGCAAAGCCCCCATCCATGTTTCTGTTTTGTTCTCCATGGATGAAGAAAATGGATGGTGAGGAGGTAAATAAGCCACACTAATACAACCAATCACAGACAGCAGTAATGAGGCAGGAGAACACAAAGAGGAAATGTCCAGGCACACTCCCAAAATACCACCTGACACAAAGGACACCTGATATGAAATGAAGTCACACCCATGTCTTCTGTGTGTGTGATCGCCATCCAAGGGGCAATACCTCTCTGAATGAGATGTGGAGGTACTGAATGTAAGGAGAAGAAGTGAGGTTAAGAGGACATGCTTTGGACTGAGAGACACATAGGCAAGTCCTAGATGGACCACTTAACTATGTGACCTTCCGCAAGTAACTTCCCTTTGCTTTAGTATAAAATGGTCATAGGAACTTCCATTTTACAGAATTATTGTGAGTACTAGATTAAGAAATCCAAAATATGCAAAGTATCTGGCATATAGTAAATGACCAATAAATGGTGGTGATTGTATTACTGAACTATGACCAAGAGCACAGGCCAGACAACACTGGGTCCACTTAAATAATGAATGAAACCAGCACTCAGACGTAGTTTAAAAAACAAACAAACAAACCCATAACACTTAAACCCTTAAGTACAAAGAAGGGGAGTGTGTTTCCCTACCAGCTGCATCTCAGGAAGCCACAGTGTCTTCTCCGAGCCCAAGATCTAGTCAGTGAGGGCAGGACGGTGACCAGGGAGAGTGACCCCGCAGGGCAGCACCATGGCGCCGCAGGCCCTTGTCTCTGAGACTCCAAGGTTCAGAATGAAATGCGGCCCCTGCACCTGCAGAACTCACCTGTGTAGGGCAGCACACAGCGGCAGGTGTAGCCACTTATGTCATCCAAGCAGGTCCCTTGGTTCAGGCAGGGATTTGAAGCACATTCATCAATATTCACCTGACAGTTATAACCTGTAGACAGAAAGGAAAACTCCCAAACAGTGAAACTTTCTGTTAGCCTTCTCATTATTTAAATTACGGAGCAATCCTCTTCATGGCAAACATTAACTACTTTAGAAACTGAATTTCTTAGGGCGCCTGGGTGGCTCAGTCAGTTAACTGTCTCACTTCGGCTCCGGTCATGATCTCGCGGTTTGTGGGTTCAAGCCCTGCACTGGGTTCTATGCTGGCAGCTCAGAGCCTGGAGCCTGCTTCACATTCTGTGTCTCCCTCTCTCTCTGCCCCTCTCCCACTCATGCTCTATTTCTGTCTCAAAAATAAATAAATAAATTATAAAAAGAAAAAAATTAGAAATCAAGCCACCAAACTGAATTTAAAAAAAAAAGAAAGAATAAGAAACAATTTCTTTAGGCCACTGGAACACCTGTTTGTTCATTTCAGTGACAAGTCCCTCATATATAGTCCGTCAGCAAAAGACAGTCAAAATGATGAATGGAAGAAGTTTATTCTAAAAGCTGAAAGGTTGAATGCACCTCCAAATATAAGTAACTTCTCAACAATGGATGAAGAAGCTCATTGAGGTTAAAAATATGATCTATCAGCTCTTTCTATACAAAATAGCTATCAGGGCCTAAAAAGGGGGCATAATTTATCAAGGGACAATATTTTCTTAAGACATAATTAAAGCCTCTGATTTATGCCTACTCTTTCATATGCACAGTCTCTATCATTGATGTGGTAGTACTTTCTGAAGCCATAAAACTGTTTTCCCCTGATCCAAGACATGGAATCTACTCCCACTATGAAAAAGAGAAAAGTAAGGAAGCATTAATGGGACAGAACAGTTACACCTCTGCATCTTCAATAGAGCCTGACACAGAGCCTCAAGATAAAGCAACTTTCACACTGTAAAAAAACAGTGGTCTGGGAGCAGAGGTGTACTGGTCTACTCACCAGCCACACAACTTAGGATTTTACATTTTGAGTTTTATTTTGTTTGTTGATCAGCAAGTCTCAAGGAAGCAAAGAAATAAAGGTGCTTTTAAATTTCTTTGCAAGTATATCAGAAAATTAATGACTACAATATATATGCTCTCAGAAATTTTTCAAATAATCAAGTAAATTGACTCTGAAACAGACTGATTTATCTCGGTAGCCTGGCACAATTTCTGAGTGGGGAAATCAATGACTAGGTGGACAGAGGAGTGCAATATAAATGATTTACCCATAGATTTCACTCATGAGTTTTTAAAGAGAAAATTGATGGTGGAAATGCAATAACAACTCAAAAAATGATTTTACACAACACCATTAGAATATATTTTTCCAGAAGGCCCTAGGTAGACTATATATTTTATCTCAATGCATAAGATAATTTGTTAGAAGGGTCTGGAATGTATGGATGCTTCTGTGGCATTATTGCTATCATAATTATAGTAAGACAATATTCCCATGCTACTCCCCAAATCTCCTGTGAATTACCACAGAATCAAACCAGCACCAGGAGGCTTATAATTAGAACATATTTCCAAAGTTGTCTAAGTGGAGTCCTAGCTGCTCACCTTAAAGAGTCCTGTAGTTCACCTCTCAGCTAGTAGAATCTATCTCTCTTTATGTTTTTATCCCCCAAGTGCCTTATAAATATTAAGTTCTCAAGTTATGTTTGCTATATGAATAGGTGAATAGGAATAAAGAAAAGGAAAGGAAGAAGTAAGTCGAGGAATATGCAATAAGAAAACCACGTGAAGGGAGACAGAAATATGCGCTTCTGCGTTCACCTTTAAAGCCCTTCTTGCAAGTACACCTGTATCCATTCACCAGATTGTCACAAGTTCCTCCATTCTGGCACGGGTTAGAAAGACATTCATTTTTGTCCACTTCGCAGTTGATGCCAACCCAGCCCGCATCACAGAGACACTTGTATCTGAAAGAAGATAGCATTCTTGACTTTGGAGGATGAATGTCTAATTGAGTCTTAGATGAAATACAAGACATGGTGAAGAAATGAGGGACAGAGGAGCCCATGGGTAAGCTGATCTCATTTCTACTCTTCTCTGAACCTATACTTGGATTGCCATGGACACGGCATGCATTGTGTGGTCCCGTCTGGACTACTCAGTAAACAGACTTTTCTGGTGCTTCCCAGCTCACAAAGATGCTGAAGAAGTTAATTAATTACAGTGAGATTTCATATGTAAGCAGTGGTTGGTGTGATATACTGGGTTAATCCAAAAGGCACAGTAACACACATAAATCTGTATGTTTATTATATATAAAGTTAAGATAAAGCAAATGTTAGGATCATTTGTTTCTGATGCAAAACAGACACCCAAGAAGTAGGTAAGCCTCTCCAAGGAGCTCCTGGGATGTCTGACTTCCAAGTCATGCTTTCTTTTTCTCTCCTAAAACCCTGCTGTAGAAAGTACCTCAGGTAAACTGAGCAGGAAAAGGAACAAAAATGAAAGTATCCAAAATATATGTACATTGTTCACACTTTGAACATTATTACCACTCAGACTATGGTACGGTATTGGCAAATAAAAGCCACTCTTGTCTGGAGATGTTTAGGACAAAGGTAGGTGGGTTGGGATGCTTTGCAGGCCACCATACTCTGAAACAGGAATACTGAGGTAATTCATCTGTGAATAAGTTGATTTCCCTTTACCTCCAAATATACTCTTGGTTTCTTTCACCTGTTGTGAAGTATGGCAAACGGCAATGCCCACAGCCCTATCTTCTGGCCAGAAGAACAAGAGCACAGGAGTATCTTGTACGACCTAACGTCACACTCTGAGTTTCTAGAAGAGTACCTATTAACACATCACACAGCTCTCAGAGGCTTGCAAACCATGAATGTCTTATCAGGGTCACATCTGCAGTCAGCTGGGACCGGCCCCACTTCAGAGGCACACATTGGGACCGCAATAGAACAGAATGGGGCTTTTTATAAGCAGGGTAAAAATCAAGTAGACCCTCCCTCAGAACTCAATCTTACAATAACTACTAAAAGCACAATTGCCAAAGGCTCACAAAATAATGCTGGACTTCTCCCATGAGCTGACTACTCCCCCCATTTTCTACCTGTTTGGCATTGGAAGGCAGAGCACAAGTGGTGGTCTGGAAGACTGAAGGAGGCTACCAAAATCTACAACTCCGTCTCAGCTCAAGTCCCTGACTGACTTCTATGGGGCATGGCCCATTCTGAAACCCAACTGGCCGTAGTCAAGTCCATAAGGAACTATTCATATGCAGTGGCTACCTACCCACTGAGGCCCCCGGTGCAGTTTCCGTGGATGCAGGGATTGCTCAAGCACTCGTTCACCTGTGAGTAGCAGCTAGGGTGATGGGGCCCCTCGGGGCACAGACAGCGGAAACCATTCACATCGTTGATGCACGTTGCACCCTTTCGACAGGGATTGGAGGCACACTCATCAATATCAATGTTACATCTCTGCCCTGCAGAGGAGGGAAACATTTTTTTTTTTTTGGTCAAATCTAAAATATTTAGAGAATAGACTCAGAACAATGAGAGATATTGTGTTGACAACTTCCTCTGCACAGGCTGTAAGATGCCTGGGGCACCAAATGTCAGGATTTAAGTAATAAGACACCCAAGAGCACTTAGCACCATGTGAGGAAGTAGTAAACAGCATCGACAGTCTTTTGATAATGCAGCCAAGTTAACAAAATGCTGGAACAGCCACTACAGTTTTTTGATATGTATTTCTTCTTTACTCCATCTTAAAAATGGAAACGTCACAAGGATTCTAAAAGAGAACATCAAATGTTACCAAAGTTGGTTGTTCCTCTTGCTGCTGTTCTGATTACTCTCGAAGAAGCTTTTATCACTGCTCTCAGCTGGTTCACCACACACCAATTCTGTTAGTCAATCTGCTACATTTCTACGTACAGGATATAGCTCAATTACCTGGAATACTTAGTGAATAAACTACTAACTTATTTTAATGTTATACTGGTTAAAAAGAAAGCCACTTTGCTTTCATTCTTAGAGTTGTATTACTCCATTTTATTTATTTCTCAGAGAGAGAGAGAGAGCGAGAGCGAGTGAGCAAGGGAGGGTCAGATAGAGAGGGCGACTCAGAGTCTGAAGCAGGCTCCAGGCTCTGAGCTGTCTGCACAGAACCCGACGCAGGGCTCGAACCCACGAACTGTGAGATCACGACCTGAGCTGAAGTCGGATGCCCAACCGACTGAGCCACCCAGGCGCCCCTCAAACCTTAATGTGCAAAAAGAATCATTTAGAATACTTGTTTTATTTTATATTTTTCTTTAATGTTTATTTTTGAGACAGAGAAAGAGAGAGAGAGAGAGTGTGAGAGTGAGAGAGAGAGAGAGGGAAAGAGTGTGTGTGAGCAGGGGAAGGATTCTTATCAGGCTCTGCACTGACAACTGAGAGCCTGATGCAGGGCTTGAACTTACGAACTGTGAGATCATGACCTGCACTAAAGTCAAGGGCTTAATGGACTTAACCACCCAGATGCCCCTAAAATACTTGTTTTAAAAGGAGATTCTTAGGCCCTATCACCATACATTATGATGGGTAGACTCCAGCAAACCACATTTTAAATAATACAGATGGTTCAAATACTACATTTTAAAAAGCTCTGATGTAGACAATTATTAGTTTATCATCATGTAATAATGTAAATGCTTAGAATATATGAAATTAAATGAACATATTCTTCCTCTAAAACCTACCCAAGACTGCACTTTGAAAACATGTCTGCAATAACCTTGACAGTTGATGCTTTAAGCTGAATAAAGCGTGCCACTTATATAAGAGTTTGGCTTTGTTAAATTTTGAATAATTGAGATTTAACTATATATTCCAAAATGATATAAAATTTTAAAATAACCCATCATTCTGTAAATGAGTGGCAACAAGCAACTGCTGTGAAGGAATTTATAAGTTTCAAAGAATACAATTTTCTGATTCAGATAAAAACATGCATTTTTATTTAAGAAAGAGTAACCCTGCATTTAGAACAGGAAATTCCAAATGAAATAGACCCACACCCCTTTAAAGTACGGGTATTAACATTTTTTCACTCTCTGTTGCTCTCTAAACCATTATTGGTGGTTCTTGTGGTAAAGACCCATAATCTGGTAGTGGTTGTTGTTTTCCTCCTAAGTGTTTTATTAATAACTTATTTTAAAGTACTATTTTCTTAGCCTCAACCTCAGAATTTTTTTTAGACGTTTGCCACTGGCACCATGACATGAGCCAGAACTCTGCTAGCCTTAGCCTGCTCTCCAGTGGTAAGTGAGAGGAAAAAGCCTTCTTTTTCTATCCTTTTAAAGGAAGCATTTTCTCAGAAGCCACTCCTCTTAGTTTTCCTCATTTGCTTTAAAAACTCTTACCAGGATCAATTTTCAAGCCGTCTTTACTGGAGAGCGTTAAGTGCCTCCTTGCAGTCTACCACGTGCACTGACCACTGCCTCACGATCAAGGTCCTACCTTTAAGGAGTTTCCACCCAGCATCAGAAATGCCCAGCATGAGGCTATGAACCTTCTTGGGCTCAGAAACTACTGAGTGAGTCGTTAATCAATGTTTCTCACCTTGTAGGTACTCAACAAATTAGTGTTTAATGAATGACCCCGTGCTACAGTCCAGACTGGGGAGTCCGGAGTTGGAAGTGAGAAGTCCCATTTCTGAGTTCTAGTCATTCACTCAGCAATATTTATTGAGTGCTTCCTCCATGACTCCCCGGCTGTGGGGCTCAACATGTACAAAACATATCTGTATACACTATGTGGACACTCAAGTTCTCTCTCAGTTGTCTTATTTGTTTAACGGGAATCATAAAACTTCCTTATCTAGTTTTTGTGTTTTGTTAATATTTTGATTGAGATATAACTGATGTATATGTGTAAATTAAAGGTATATGGTGTACTGATTTAATACATTTATACATTGCAATAGATTACCATTTTAATGTTACCTAACACCTCTATTATGTCACATAAAAATCATCTTTTTTGTGGTGAGAACAATTAAGACTAACCTCTTAGTAACTTTGAGGCTTATACAGTAGTGCTGACTATAATCACTGTGCTATAGCCCAGATTTCCAGACCTTATTTACTATTAGTTTCAAGTCTGCACCCTTAAGTACATCTCCCCTATTAGCCTCGCCCCAGCTAGCCACCATTCTACTCTATTTTTATGAGTTTAGCTTTTTAATATTCTGCATACAAGTGACATTACACAGTATTTGTCTTCCTCTGATTTATCTCACTTAGCATAAAGCCCAAAAGGTCCATTTATGCTGTCACAAATGTCAAGATTTCATTCTTTTTCATGGCTGTGTAGTGTGAATTGATTTTAGTATGACTGCAAGAGCCCTTGTTCTTAGCAGGGTGCCAGTTCAGGATATGACATTATTTGGTTAACTGAGGGCCAAAGAATCAAAACGCAATTGCATGTTCAATGTTTATAAATTATATAGTTTAATTTAATGATTATATTGGTTAAAAAGAAAGCCATTTTGCTTTCGTTCTTAAAGTTGTATTAATCCATCTTCTGCCTCAGAAAGAAGAGTATTCTAAGCATAACTTTATTGTCTTCTGGTAACTGAGAAAGCAATTCAGGGTCTCTTAATCTAGACTAGTGGCTCTAGATTTAAATAATTTATAAATCATAAATATACTATTAATTTATAATTTATAAACATTTACACACTTCACTACTGATGAAAAGCTACTATAAGAGATTTAGAGAGAAGAGATTGCAAAACTCATATATAGGTTTTCTTGTTGTACTTTGGTGATTATAATTCTATAATGACATTATCATGAGTCTACCTTGGTAGACTTGTTCCTCATGATAGCCTTTCAAATGCTTTTGGAAAATCACGAGGGTATGGCAGACCATGAGGCTTTCAAAACTTTACCTGTTTCAGATGATACTGGGTTTCCAGGTACAAATAATGATTTATAACTTAAAAGTACCATCAGTCTGTGGTTAAATCACGTAGCTGTGAGACAGTTTTCTCTAGATACTTCCAGTTTTCTCTATCTGGAATTACTGGGAATTTTCCAATAATAGTTTCTAAAATTATGTTTAGCTACTTCTGCCTGCATTTTTTAAAGATTGAGCTATAACTGAGATATAACCTATTAGTCTCACGTGTGCAATGTAATGATTTGATATTTGTATCTACTGCAAAATGATCACCATGGTAAGTCTAGCTAATACTCATCACCATACATAGTTTCAAAATTTTTTCTTGCTCCTTGCCCATTTTCAAATTGGATTATTTGCTTCCTTGCTATTGAGTTGTATGAGCTTTTTACATTTTGGATACTAACCCTTTTTCAGATATATTATTTACAAATATTTTCTCATATTCCATTGGCTGCTTTTTCAGTTTATTGTCCCTTGCTGTGCAGAAGCACTGTACTTTATTTTTTTTTATTTATTTATTTTTTACAAATAGTTTATTGTCAAATTAGTTTCCACATAACACTCAGTGCTCATCCCCACAAGTGTCCTCCTCCATGCCCATCCCCACCCCCCCCCTCCATCAGTCCTCAGTTTTTGTCAGCATTCAAGAGTCTCTCATGGTTTGCCTCTCTCCCTTTCCCCCACCATTTCCGCCCTTCTTCTCCCCCTTGGTCCTCCGTCAAGTTCCTCCTAATCCTCCTATACGTGCAAACATATGATATTTGTCCTTCTCTGCCTGACTTATTTCGCTCAGCATAACACCCTCAAGGTCCATCCATGTTGCTACACATGGCCAGATTTCATTATTTCTCATTGCCATGTAGTATTCCATGGTATAGATAAACCACATCTTCTTGATCCATTCATCTGCTGATGGACACTTAGGCTCTTTCCATGTTTTAGCTATTGTGGAGAGTGCTGCTATGAACATTGGGGTACATGTGCTCCTATGCCTCAGCATTTCTGTATCCCTTGGGTAAATTCCTAGCAGAGAAGCACTGTACTTTAATTCAGTCCTGCTTCTTCAGTTTCGTTTTTGTTGCCTGTGCTTTTGGTTTCTTATTCAACCTATCTGCTTTTATGGACTGTTATGAAAAGTCGTCAAAATAATAAATATGAAGGTGAAACTGAAAAAGCAGTTTGTAAAACTGAGAAGTAGCATACAGAAGGGTCACTTGATTTCTTACATTTTGCATTCAACAGTAAATACAATGAGGTCTGAAGAGGGGGCCCCTGGGTGGCTCAGTTGGTTAAGCGTCAGACTCCTGATTTTGGCTCAGGTCATGATCTCCTGGTTTCTAAGATGGAGCCCCTCATCAGGCTCCGGGTTGTTATCACAGAGCATGCTTGGGATTCTCTCTCCCTCTCTCTCTCTCTGCCCCTCCCTCACTTGTATGCATGCACATGCACGTGCATGCTCTCTCTCTCAAATAAATAAACATTAAAACAAGAGTTCTGCAGGGAATTCAGAATTTAGTCTGAAAAAGAAAAACTCATTTAAATCCGTCAAAGCTATTATGAGAATTGTAAAACAAACAAAAAAAGTAGTAGTGTTAAAATAAAACAGGAAAAAATAAAATATATCTACAGCTCATGTACATATAATACCACAGTTGTCTGTGGTATTTTGGGAAGCTGATTAAAAAAGCAAAAAATAACTAAAAAAAAAAACAGACATAGAAAATTGTTCCAAGAACAGAGTACCACCCAGTTACCAAAACATTCCACTTCTTGGTTATGTAATGTCATGCTACACCTTCGGTTTATTTTGGAATATTTTAGCCTATGTCCTCTCTCCTTGACCTTCTTGGTTTGCTGAATGTTAGAAAGAGAGAGAATATGACTTACTGGGATTTAAAAAAAAAAAAAAAAAAAATTCCAGTGTAAGGCTTACATGTCTAAAAAACGCCACAACAGGCACCCCCAACCCACTCAGGCTGTCCAGTGGGGTGAGAATGGTCATGGGCTCTAGAATAGGACCATCTGGGCTGGAATCCTGGCCACGGTGCATGGGTAATGTTACTTAACTGCTCTAAGCTCTGGGATTCTCATCAATACCATAAGAATGATAATAGGTGTGATAATTAAATGAGATTAGGCACCTAACGCCTAACTCAAAATAAGCTCTTAATAAATGATAGCTATTCTCTTATTACCTATTTAACAAAAATGCACCTATTATCCTACCTAGCAGGAATGTTTGTGTTTTCAGTTGGCTGTCACTTCCTCTTGGGGTAACAAGTTTCAGAACACAGAAGTACAGCTGGCTACTCCTAGTAGCACTAGGCACCAGATACGACAGCTTTCATCATACTTGTTTTCTGAGTGATCTTCCACTGAGCAGACATTATGGTGACCCACGTGGGCCAAAAACATTACTCCCTATCATCCATGATCATATCCAAGCAGGAAAAGGGGTTGTGAAATACAGAGGAAATTAAGTTCCCGGCAAGTGAGAGGCAGACATTTACCTCACTTGGCCCTGAATGTCTTTTGACATCATAGTTGAAAAAGCTCTGAGGGAAATTTCTCACATTGGTTGTGAATGATCACATAGTATTTATTAAATGGTAACAGTATTATGTAAGTGCCTGCTTGCGTGTGGAACTGTCTAGAAAGAATAGGACAGATGCATGGTGATTGCCTCTGAGGGGTGCCGTTAACACACAGGCATCTCAGTTAGGTGCCTCAGATTTCTCAGTAGGCTCTCACGTTTGGACCAGAAGGGTAAGAGATAAAAGCAATCTTATTAACAACAAAAAAGAGAGAAAGAGATTTGTGTTTGGGTGTGTGCACACAAGCATGCATGTGTAAATGTTCTAGCTACTTTTAATAATTAGGTTGGTCCTCCCAAGTTCTGGCCTCATCCGACAATCTCCTATAAGAAGAAGTACTCAGAAAAAAGCATTTAGTGTTTTCATAGAATTTTATCTTGGCTATACTTTTGTGGAAGGCATTCACTACTAAGGGCAGCAAATTAAAGGTGGTAGTAAAAGCTATATAGCTCAAGCACACTGACAGAAACTCATGGTCTGACTAGAAATGCTTTTCAGGTAGCTACAGCATGTGGTCTGAGAACCCTAACTAAGGAGAAGTTTCAGGTTACAGTTTATGGAAGGCCTATAAGTAGAAAACTAGGCCAGAGAAGTACAGAATCATACTTCTAACCTTCCAAGAGGCAAAGAAATAGGAAACATTTAAAAAGTGATTTTCCTTCAGATGCCCTTTTCCCAAAGTGATGGGGCTGAAGGAGGGACCCAACAAAAAAGGTGTTACCTGTGAATCCTGGTGAGCAGACACAACTGTAACGATTAATGCCATCCATACAGACTCCGTGGACACAAGGGTTACTTGCACAGTCATCAAAATTGATTTCACAATTAACACCTGCAAAGATAAAAGCAGAAAGAAACCATGCAGTATTACCACAAAAATAGCATGTGATGCTAGGTGTTAAGAAATCTGGAGTATACAGCTAGCCCTGGACAGAGCTACATTCAGAAAGGCTTAATTGTAGATATGGGTAACTAAACAGCAAGGATATACCAATCATAATTTTTACCATCATTTTATAAAAATACTCATGATACTTTGTTATGTATTATATACTTAAGATGAATTTAATGATGTTTTATTTCCCATTCATAGAAAAATGCTTTGGTAGTTTAAAAAGGCTAAAGCCTGGCAAAAAGGTTATTTAAACTAACAAAATGTCCATTTTAAAAATTGTAAAATTTTTGATTCACTCATTTTATATTAATATGTGTTAATAAATAATTACATTAAAATTTATTGAGCCATTATTATGTGCAAGTACTCTGTTTCCCACTTCCCATAACTTTAGTCTTCTCACTAAACTGGCACATCAAGTTGTGTTACACCCAATCATGGATTTGCACAACTACAGTAGTACGGCCAGGATGTGAACCAGGCACTTTGGATTCTATACTCTTCACCACACCATATTGGTCACTCTGCGATTAATGAGGCCATGCTACCTCACTAGACACAAATGAGGCAAGAGTTTCCATATTCCTGGATACTTTTAGGAGCTGTCTAACCCCACTGACTGGTAACCCCCACTCACCTACAATCAACCACGGCAGGATGCAGGAGGCTATATTTTATTTGAGTAGGAACAGGCACCGTGCCCAAGATGAGCCAATGGAATTTTCTCATTGGGAATATGAACTGTGGGACTCATGGTCTATCAATTGCTCTGCTTCCTGCTACTGCAAAGCTTTACCAATCAGTTCTCACTTGGAATCTGTAAGATACTTCTGTGTGCTTTCTCTAGATTTTTTGTGTCTATTCTGTAGTTATTGTTTGCTTAGGAATCCTTAAACTAGTCAGGTTGGTTTCTGTGATCTAAAACCTAAAGAAACTTACTTAAAACAGTTTCCCATCATAAGACCATGGGTGAAAGAAGCTTCAGAAGTGATTCTGGGTAGTTTATCTCACTTCAAGTACCCAGTAAGTGAGAAACCACAATTATAACCAGGCACACTGTGAAGTATCCCTTCTGTCTATACTCATCCAAAACCCAACCTTCCAACTTAGGACCATGGGTAGCATGGGTCGTGGATTCTTACTCTAGAACTCAAGAGTCTATTCAGAATGACTAATTAAAATAGACCCATCTATCTTGCCCTGTAGTACATGTCAGGTGTTTCTTCACCCATTACAGACCAAGAATTTTTTTTATGATGCCTGTATCTCTTTGCTTTAACTCTCCAAACAGCCACAGGAAGGGACTTGGCAGTTGTCTGAGAGATTCTGGGCCCTTGTTCTATGCTGCCTGCACACCACTCATATTTACTTCTTGCATTTCTCAGTGACAGCTACTTACACCTTGCCTTCTCTGTCCTCCCCAGGGAATACACCTGATGCATCCCGGCATAATGATATAATCCCAGAGAAAACAAAGTGCTTGCCAACCCACCATTCACCCAGGTTTCCAGTACGTTTGTTATAATGGGAATGACAGCGAAGCCTGAAACAGCCCCACCATTCTAAAGGCATCCATTCAATTGCTTGTAAATCTCTCAAATTTCTTTTCGTACTGCAATTTCTCATGTCTGGGGACCAGCCCGGAAGCAAATTGCTTTTGGAAGGTTTCACAAAGATCTATTCAGCCCTTTTAGTGAGTTATCTAAACGTGGGGAGGGGGAAGGCACTTTCAACTGTGAAGGCATGGGATGTTTTTCGTATGCTTGAGCAACTCAAAAAGGACTTTGTTTTCAAACTTGGCATGTATGAGGTCCTGGATGAAGACCAGGGCTTTTGACAAGTTTGAAGAAATGGATTTGGAAATAACAAAATAAAATGAGGGCAGTTTAACCACCTCCCCCACCTTTGCCCCCTATGTAGGCCATTTTCCTTAAATCAAGAATGAGTTCTCAATAAATCACTCTCTTGTATTGGCAGGTTCCCTTCTAACAAAGGCACACACTAGTTAATCTTCCACTAATACATTTTCTTTGATCTGAGACATAGTACTTCTCTGTCCATTAACCACAGTTGGGACCATAATTATTCCTCGAATAAGTAAAACAGACTCCAGTGAGACCTGTGAAATGCTGCTGCCTGAGAAAGTAGCTCAACATTTCCCCAGCAAGAGCAGCATGCCCTCCCAACTAACAAGCAGTCACTCAACCAGAGTCGGGAAACAGCACTGAACTCGGGGTGGGAAGTGGTGGCTCTGCATTCTAATTTATAAGGATTGGCCTGTGCTGCGAAGTCTCTGCTCTCCCTGAGAATTCCCCCAAATGCCCAAGGTCCACCCAAGACACGGCAGAAGCAAAGTGACACATTAAAGACCTGGACTCTGAAACAGAGAAGAACACAGCTGGAAGGACAGGAGGGAGTGAGGGGGAAGGCCAGCTTCGTTACTCTGAGTGCGGTGGAAGCTCAAGGGGAAAGGACAATCAAATCAGCCACACAAGCAAGAGGATTTCCAATTTTAAGTAATAATTTCAATTTTTTGAAGTGGGTGTCTCCTAAGAAAACACATACACACACGCAAACACACAATCATCAGTTTTGCAAAACGATTGTCTCTAATTTCTCCACCAGCTACAGACATCTGCCTCTGAGATGTTTCTGGCTGTAGCTTTGGCTATGCTTTTCAGAATCAGGACTATTGTTTCAGGTATCAAAGCATACGCCAAGTAAGTCTGAGACACCTGTGCCAAGTGATTTTGAGGACGAGTGACAACTCCAGAGGAGACCCGAGCAGAGCGGGCTTACCTGACGTGCCCGGCTGGCAGTTGCACTGGTAGCCGTTGACCAGGTCAATGCAGCGGCCGTCGTTGAGGCAAGGGCTGCTGTAACACTCATCAATCTGGTCGCTGCAGATGGCACCCATGTACCCCGGGTTGCAGATGCAGGTGTAGGAGTCAATCCCATCCTGACACTGGCCATGGTGGCAAGGATCAGGGTCACAGTTGTCGATGTTCTCCTCGCACAACACACCAGTGAACCCTTGGGAGGAATTTTACCAAGGAGGCTTAAAAACCCAGGCAAACACTCCACGCCTGAACCTAAGCGTGGCCACATCCACTACAGATGGTTCTCACGGCAGGAAGCTTACAGCAGGAATCAACTCTTTATGAGGCAAGCCTAGAGAGCTGCTTAAAACAGTTTTTCACTTAAAATTTGTAGAATTCAAATACCTTTCTCAAAATGATCAGTGGTTTCACTGCAGAGATACTTTAACTACATCACCATTTCATACTGGGCTTCAATAGGGACTAGTTCTCAATAGTTTTCTGTTATATATTTACCTCTATATTCCTTTCTTCCCAGACCCAACATACAGATACTGTATTAATGGTTACATGTATCTTATCTTCCCAATTCTGACCTTAGGATACAGAGAACTTTTCTTTATGCCTCGTAAACCCTCCCCGAGTACCGTGCTCATATACTAAGGTTTTAATAAGTACTTGTTAAATAAAGTGAATGAAAATTTATGAGCATTTAAAAGAAAAAGAGAAAATAAAACTTCATTCAACTTTAAGTCTCTTTCAAAGGATTTTAAAGAAAGGTGGGATGGGAGCTCTCTTCCTTTTAAATATGAGTTAAAGATTTGTAAACTCTCTCCAGAGAAGGTTATTCTCCATGAGGATAATCTGGCCAGAAGTGGACAAAACCTGGAACTTCTCCAACCAAAGACAACAGTTTCTGCAAAGAGAAAGAAGTTAACTGGTTCATCTGACAGGACCTAATCTAAGGAGGCCCAGTAAATGGTAATGTTCCAGTACTACTGAAACACTAATTCTCTGTGTTTATCTTTGTGACTACTTCACTTTTCTGTCATCAGAAAGAAATCATGCATATGATGTTTAAAATCCTTTAAGAATCAATCTTTAAAAATAAGCAAAAGTTCTTTTAATTATATCCATAACTTTTTTCTCCCTTACGCGGTCACATAAAGAAATGAATAGGGAAGTCATCTTTTCTAATAATTTCTAGTCCTTCTCTATAATACTGGTCTGTGTAAAAGCAAATGTGTAATAAGGGACTTTGACTTATTTAAATCCACTCCCAAATGAGAAATGTGGCCACAGATCAGAAATGCAGAATATGTGTAAACAGATTCTTTTTCACTGTAGTAGCAGAAGTCAGGAAGGAGGACCTACACTTTCCCAGACAGAGCTCTCTCCCCCATTCAGATACACACCTGACTCTCAGGGCCTGAGCAGTCTTTTACGTGGAAAACCTCTGCACTTGCACACAACAGCCCTTGGAACTCTGGGTCTTTGTTCAACTACTTCCCTCAAGAAACACAGAGACAGGCCTCTTGCTGAGAAGCCCCAGTGAAAAATAGCTTTCAGCTGGAATTCTTCCCTTTCCCAAAGGAGTAAGTCAAGCCAGCTGGAAACTCACCGCTGCCAAAATCTATCCCAGAAAGACATGGACACCAAATGGAAATGTCCAAGCCAGGCCACTGTTGTGGTGGAGAAGGAGGCAGGTTTTGTAGACGGAAAGAGTGAGAGAAGCAAAAACTATGCTAGAAGCAGCTGTCTCCAAACACAAGGCAGCTCATTCGTGGACTGGCCGGGGAGAGCGGCGAGAAGAAGACAGCCTGCTGCTTTGTTCAGACGGGCACACCAGGTGCACAGAGGGTGAGGATGGCCTTACCTGTAGCACACTGGCATTCGTAGCCGTTTGGGTGATCAATACACTTGGCCCCATTTAGACACGGAGTACTGGAACAGTCATCAATATCAATCTGGCAAACTGGCCCAGTGAAACCTTAAAAGGGCAGAGCGATGACACGAGTCAAACGATTCTCCTATGTCTGTCCATCTGAGGTCTACAAAGGGCTTACACCAGTGGCTCAGCAAACATAAAATTACTCTCCCCAGCAGGGAACTGGGATAACTGGGTGAGGCTCAGGGCATGAGAGACAACTGTGTGTGTCTCCACCTCTGTTTCCTCCCAGTACAGATTTCTCTTCCAGCTGAAGTAGGGACTGAATGGTTATACATGGAGTGCTCAAACAAATGAGGGCGGCTTCAGAGGAACCAGGACCTTCTCTCTGAAGAAACAACAGGAGAGGCTATTTGTGGCAGAAAATTTGCCATGTCTTCAACACTAGCTTTGGGGAGCAAGAAGAGACACAGCATTCTTTGGAAAAAAATCGACTCATGTTGTCTGTTTTCTGGACGTAGGGTGAAATATCTAACAATAAAAATCTCACAGAGGGGTTTTAAGAATATGACCCATAGTGGGGAGGGGGAATTCCCTGAATAGCCTACAACTAAGGCTTCTGTGAGGTATGAACTTTCTGAAATATATACACAGACAGAGAGGTCATGGGCCATTCAGAATAGACTTGGACTTCTGGCCACAAAGGATTTGGATGATCCACCAGCTGAAACAAACTCCCTGTTTCTGTACACACTCCGATTCCGAAGTGCTCACTTTAATGACTTCCTCATGCACAGCCCACACACATTCTCTCCTCCTCCCTTCCCTGTGGTCAGTTGGCTCTGTGCTTTCAAAGAAAATAGGGGCAGGTGGTGGGCACTTACCAGGCGGACACAGACACTGGAAGCGATTGACTTTATCTACACACTGACCATTGTTCACACAAGGGTTGCTCTGACATTCGTTTATCTCCAGTTCACAATGCACACCTTTGAAACCTGAACAAATTAGACCACACAAGTGGCTTAGAAAGAAAGGCACAGTCTAGCCAAGAAAGCACAAATTTGCAGAGATGACTATATCCTTTATGAGCATGAACATTTCTGCAGAAGGCAAAGAGGACCCTCCCCTGATAGGAAGTAGTCACTGCCAGTATCAGCGACATAGGAGAATACTGTGAGAAATCCATGTCACTGGGCAGAGGGAGAAGAGGCTACCTTCTCTACAGCACACCAGCAAAGACCGTCCCACATTCTCTGACCAGTCCCTGCTTCACTTTCAGAGCAGTGCCAGGCCCACAGGGTCCCCAGTCAATGTTCACAAAGACCGGCTGACCTGGAAATCCTGTTGCTCTCAAGAGGGTACAAGTCAAGGTCAAGAGGCCCTCCCAATGCTAGAGTGGCTGCGCACCTTAATCAAGTAAAGCAGCCACTATCATATGTCCTTTTTCCATTTTTTAAATTATTATTTTTTTCTTTTAGAGAGACAGAACATGAGTGGGGTAGAATGGCAGAGGGGCAGGGGAAGAGTGAATCTTAAGCAGGCTCCACATTCAGCATAGAGCCTGATGAACGGTTTGATCCCAAAACACTGGGATCATGACCTGAGCCGCAATCAAGAGCTGGACACTCAACTGACTGAGCCGCCCCTCAAATGTCATTTTAAACTGGACTTACCTGTGCTCTCTGAGGATTCAAGAAATGGATTCTGCAGAAGAACTCCAGAATACAACTAACAATATGCACATCACTATGAATAAATAGCAAGTTTCTAAACAATTAAGGGTAAAACAATTTCTATAAATGGAACAGTATGGTATTTATAATGCATCAAAAGATTAGGAAACCTTGCTATTTAAAGGACTGTTATGGTAAATCCTTTGTTAAAGAATATTTGCTGAAAATAATCACTTCTGAATGTTCTCTTACATGTAATTCATGTTGACATATAGATTTGTTTAAGTTAGTCTCCATCGCTCTAAGAATTCTAGCACTCCTTTACTCCTTAAGGGTCCCATGGCTGGGGACCCTGTCAGTATTGGGAATTAAAGGCTGACAGAGTTCATGGAATTACAACCCTATATTGAGTGTTCCACCTAAGAGAAGTGCAGGGCACTGCCTCTTGCCGAGATCCCACACACTGATGGGCCCATGTACCTGGCATGCACAGACACGTGAAGCCTCCAATCTTATCCAGACAGGTCGCATCGTTCTGGCAGGGGTCGGAATGGCACTCATTGATATCCAACTCACAGCGAGGCCCTGTGTAGCCCCTCAGACATTCACAGTGGAAGGCACCATCTGTGTTCACACATTTTCCTGCATGCTCACAAGGATTGCTATTGGCTGGAAAACACAAGCACCAGTTACCGGAATCAAAGTACTTTGATAGAGTTTCCACAAATGTGTTTTGCAGAAATGGATCTGACTGTTACAGCATTAGGGCTAGGCCCTTAATAATCTGGTTCTCAACTTACTATTTTCTTCCTTAAAATACAAGGAAGAAAGGAAGGAGGCAAAGCAAGGCAAGACTAGGGCAATTTCAACTCCTGTGCATCTCTGCTGTTCTTTTGCCCAAAGTGTCACTTGGGTAGGCCTTCGTATTAAGAATCAGCTAATGACCTTCCATTCACTCAATTCTCAGAAGAGAATATATGTTTACACTAGGGTGCTGTAAACGGTAGGCATGTAACAGGAGAGATCAGAGGTTTGGGTGTACCATGCTCCTAGAGTAAAACGTGCTTCTGTCTGAATGCTTACTGAGCTCAACAGACACCGTGAGGAATAGGAAAGGTTCCGTGTACTTACCCATGGCACATTCATCCACGTCTTCTGTGCAGTCAGCTCCTTTGTAGCCTTGGGGGCAAGTACAAATATACTGCCCGTTCAAGGGGTTGGTATCACACAGTGCCCCCTTGTGGCAAGGATTGCTGATGCATGCATCATCCAAATGACACAAGAGACCTGTCACACAGGGTGCGGCAAGGAGAGCAAAGAAAAAATGTCCCTTACTCGAGGAAGAGTTTTCTCTTTCATGGAGTTGGGAAAGTCTTGTGCTCACCTCACTAAAGTCCCAATATGGAGATTTAGAGGCCACCTCCCCTTTGCCTACTCCTACCTAGGGACATGCTGCAGCCAGCAAGGAACTCCTGCAGACCCCCCTGGGGCTCTGACCCTAAGCCCCTAGCTGGACCTCGCCTCAAGGGTAGAGGCGTCCCAGGCCATAAAGTGACATGGTCAGACGATGGTGACATGAAAATGCAGATCGCCTTCAGAGAGTGCTGCCAGAATTAGCAAATAAAAATAGAGGATGGCTAGTTTGATTTGAATTTCAAATAAACCACAAATAATTTTTTACTACATATTCTAAATACTGCATGCATCTTATATTTTATTTAGCAACCTACTTTCCTAAAATTATGCTTGCTACCTGATGATCATGGCGCCACCAGCATTTGACGAGCCTCAGAAGAAGAAAAAACAAAACAGCTGAACATCATAAGTCTATACCAGGGCAGCCTCTTAATAGTGTCAACATTCCTGGCACAGTGCCCCAGGGACTCTAAAGGTATGACTGGGTCCCATGTTCCTTGTAGTTCACATGGGAACTGGATTTTCCAGTCTGCAATTAGCTTAAGAACAGGTAACTAAGGCTTCGTCTACAAAGCTAGAGGTGGGGCCTTTCCAAAAGCCAAAATGAGAACATTTCCAAAGGGCTGGGAACAAAGCTCCCAGCTAAGCTATCTTCCTCCATCACATTCCTCCCTTCACTACTCTCTACTCCGAGGACTGGGAGCTGTTACCTTCAGAGACTAGACTAGCAATGTTAACTTTGCAGTTAATAAAATTCCTCCCTCAGAGGAACATTTCCAGAGACACTGAGAGCTGGAATGCAGTCAAATGTTTCTCTCCTTCCAACTCCTTCTGAGTAAAAGAGTTCTTCTCAAAATGAAGTTCCTAAACCCATTAATTGGTAATTTGGTCTTAATGTCTGAGAAATTAACGTTAATTTCTGAGGTACTTTTCAGCCTAAGATCTTAAGGAAGTCAACAGATGCTCCCAAGGCAGTAGTTACTAACTTTCATTTTGGGGGGGATGAAAGCCAGAAGTATGCAGATTTAAGATGAGAGCCAAAACCCCTAAGAAGACTACTTTCCTAGCACTTGAGCTGGCAATTACATTTCCAGAATAACACTTGACTAACAAGTTCCTACACATGCTCATTAAAAGATGCTGAAAGCTCCCCGGCCCCTTCTGTGAACTCTAGGTCTGTCCTGCTGGCCTCACCTGCCTTCCCTTCCGGGCACATGCAAGAGAAGGAGGCCACACGGTCAATGCACGTGGAGCCCGGAGTGCAGGAGGCAAAGGCACAGTCATCGATGTTCTCACTGCAGTCGTCTCCACTCCAGCCATTGACACACACGCAGCCATAGCCCCCGTTGCGGTTGGTGCAGGTGCCCCCATTCTGACAAGCATTGGGTTGCAGCAGACACTCGTCCACATCCTCTGTGCAGAACTGTCCTTTGGGGGAAGAAAGTGCCTTTGGTCAGGGGTCTGAAGTCCCAAAGAATTAGTACCACACCAGCTCCCACACATTCTTCACCCTCGTGTGACCTGCCCAAAATTCGGGCAAGCATATCTCACAGCAGACCAGGTCTTCACGTGAATACCCTAGGCCATCCACATGATAGCTCTTCCAGGCAAATAACTTAAAGGAGAATAGAAACTGCCGTTCCTAGAAATTCTGACATGAGAAGTTAGGCAACCTATTAAAGAAAAAATTAGTCCTGCATCATCCTTAACTCAGCTGAATCCCTGGGACAATGAATATGTAAGTGAGAAGTGGGAAGAAGAGTGTAGGAGAGGAGTAAAAAACAATAATGAGAAGGAAACTAAATGCCAAAATGCCAGAGCACTGGTTCTATATCCTGATTGTATCAGTGTCAACATCCTGGATATGATACTGTACAACAGATCTGCAAGATGATGTTATCATTGGGGGAGATACACATTATAGGCTATCTCTCTGTATTAATTCTCATAACTGCATGTGAAACTACGATAATCTCAAAGTGAAAAGTTTAATCAAAAAAACAAAAGTAAGGACAAGAGAGAGTAGACAGCAAAGATGAAGGACATGAAAAGCCTTGGTAAACTGTAGAGGTGAAAGGCAACACCAAGATGATGAAACTGGAACAAACTGTGCATAGCCAAGTCACCCAACCTTCAAGGATGTGGATTTGTGGAATAAGATGCAGGAAGCTGACCCAGTAATATAGGAGATGGAAAAAGGATCAGTTTGAGCTGCCTGAAAAAGAGCAAACTGAAGGACAACGCATTAGACCACTTATGGATATAATGCAGGTCACTATAACAGCAAAGGATGGGGGACTATGACAAAGGCTCTCAGCCCTGTGACAATGAACAAAAAGCATGTCTTCAACTTACAAGCAAGAAATCTGTGATTAACAAGCAATTTAGTGCCAGACCATATGAGTTATAAAACAAGTTGATGAATACCAGTTTAGAGAGCTATCACAGGTCGGAACTCACATTCCGACCATCTGAATTCTCTAAAACACAAGAACAAGTGGCTGACACTCAAACCCAACAATAATTCAAGTGGCTCAAGTATTTTCAGAAAGCCTTTAATGTGCCCAGCTGCGTAGCTATCACTGCTAACAGAAGTTAGTTGTATCCAATCTAACCTAACTGATCATCCTGATTCTTTATCCTTATCTAACCTGTACATCCATTATTACAGAACTAGCATCAGTCTGAGGGGCCTAGTGGCTTAGTCAGTTAAGCATCTGACTGGCTGAAGTCATGATCTCATGGTCCGTGGGTTCGAGCCCCGCAATGGGCTCTGTGCTGACAGGTCAGAGTCTGGAGCCTGCTTTGTATTCTGTGTCTCCTTTTCTCTCTGCCTCTCCCCCATTCATGCTCTATCTTTCTCAAAAATAAATGAACATTAAACAAATTTTTAAAGAATTTAAAATCACTCTATTGCACTATTTGATTCCACATCCATCTCCCATCATTTGGCTGTAAACAACCTCAGTTCAGGAATATGTTTTGTATCCCTAGCTAAAATCTCACTGACCAGGATGGCAGGATGGGTGTGTGGGCATCTCTGGAACTCTGTGCTCATCACCCTCATTCTGTGTGCCTCTCCACCCCACTTCATCCATATAATTTTTTTCATCCATGTAATTCTTGAAGGAGTCACCACATCTTTACCCGATCATGACCTCGTACTCTAGCTGACCGACCCAGGATGGGCATCTTACACAAGCTGTTGTCGCTACGTCCCTTTTCTGAATTTTTGGGCTAGGGACCCTTTGCCACATGGACCAAAAAGATAAAATGGCTGGTCTACAAAGTGATAAGGGTGAATCAAAAGTGCACAGAAGAGAAAAACAGAATCAAGGTGGCATTCAAGTTGTTGGTTCTGGTTGTTCCTGAAGCCCAACTGCTCATATGAGAGATGGCCCTTCCAACAGGTTTCTCTAATTTCAGATGGGGATCTGTCAACTGCCACCCCTAGTCTTAACTAATATGGGCTGAGTGAGAGAGTGAGTGAGTCTGAGTACAAGCACTGGCAATCACTTCCCCTAGGGCAGATGATGTCATTTGCTTCAGAAAGCTCTGCTCCCTTACTATACTGGCAGAAATGCTGCCTCAGAGTAAAGACAGATATATAATTAGGATACAGGTGGAATTTAGAAGTGAAAACATCACTAAGAAGTAGGTGAGGAGCTCCTGGAACCTGGAAATTACTGAAAGTCTTGTCTCTTACACTTAAGCTAACTCAAATATCTAGGCTACCCTCAGACCAAACTTAACTTGCTGAAGGTGAGCAACTTGGATGTTCTTTTTCTGTTACAGTTCTGAGTAGATGACACTGTGTTTAAAAATATGTTGTATTTTTATATGATATAATATTCAAACACTTAAATATAATATTTAATATTACATTATTAAATAATATATTATTAAAATATTATTATATAAAATACAATATTATTTAATTACCTAGACAGACTAGGTAAATAAAACAATGCTTGGAATGGAAACTTGGTACCCCTGGGAAAAGAAACCAAGAGTCATTGCTTCCCTGCTCTGAACCAGGCATTGTGCTGAGCTGTCACAGAATTTATCTCATTTATAGTTGGGGGCCAATAGGCTCAGAGTAGTAAAATAACTTGACTGGTCCAAGGCAGGAGTGCAGGAGAAGCGAGATTTAAACCAGAGGTGCCTGCCTCTAAAACTCTGTTTCTTTTAAATGTTATTTATTTTTGAGAGAGAGAGGCAGAGTTTGAGCAGGGAGAGGGGCAGAGAGGCACACACACACACACGCACGGAATCCGAAGCAGGCTCCAGGCTCTGAGCTGTGAGCACAGAGCCTGACACATGGCTTGGACCCATAAACTGTGAGATCATGACCTGCGCCGAAGTTGGATGCTTATCTGGCACTCCTAAAACTCTTAACAAAGACTTGAGATGTGAGTCTGACCATATCAGAACCATCTTTGTGTGCCTCAGTTTCCCAACTTCATGAAGGCATGAGGAAGTGAAGAGGATGAAGAAGGAAAGGCAGGATTCAAATCATTACTCAAATGATCAGATTACTGGAAAAATTCAGGACTCAAAATTACTATCCAAAAATCACACGTAATTTTAGGTACAGTTCACCATTTTCTGAATGGGGTTGTTGTTGAAGATCAGGACACCTGAGGACTGTACATCTGTAAGATAATGTTTGTTAGAGGAACCACATCTAGAGAGCCAAAAGCACACTGGCTTATAAATTACTTTCTACAAAATGGATCATTTTCCTCTGAGATTCAGGAACATTTCTCCAGAAAAACATTCCCTCCCAGACTCATTTCTGCCAGAATTTTTTTTTCTCTTCATTCTAATTCTACAAACAAAAATGAGGAAAACGGTAACCTGGGAGGCCACCATAAGTGCTTGCTCCAAAATTCCCAGTGGAATGCCCACTAAGGTACTCCTTCATGCCACCACTTCTTGGCACAGAAGAAAATCAATGCAGAAGCCTAAGAATAAGAAACATGAGGGTTGGAAAGATTAAGTACCCTTCCCAAGGTCATGAACTAGTAAGTGAGAGCACTGCCATTCAAACCCAGATCAGTCTGACTCTAAATCTACTGCCTTTCTCACTGCAGCATAGATGAGTTTCCAGCCTCGGTTTCGACTGACAAGCTCTGCAGGCTAGGTCTCTGATCCTAGGACCTTAAAGCACACTGAGAAGGCAGGAAGCATGTGATAATTTAAGAACACCCTTGGTACAGATGAATAAAGGCAAACAGTCACTGAATACTGAGATAGGAAGAGTTTATGGTTGTCATCTGGAGGGGGTGGTACAGTGTCTGAGGTCATTTGGCTCTTCCCACTACTCCATGGCAAGAAAGCATCAATGTGAGCTGGCGAAGGTCCACTGAGGGCGGTAGGACTTAGGTCTTGAAGATATCAAAATGACTGAACGGTATTCTTTGGCTGGAGTTTAAAAAAGAGAAAAGGTTGAAGATCATTTAAGGCTTTGAATTCTAGTATGAATTCTGAACGTGATACAACAAGTAAGGGGGAGTTATTATAGGCTCACAGCTCAGGGAAGACATGATCAAAACTGCATCTGAAGGTTAGTCTGCCAGTAGAAGATAGGGGGGACTTAAAGCAACTGGCTCTCTGTTAGTAGGGAGAGAAGGAGAGAGCACTGAGTTATGAGCTACCCAGCATATAAACACATCTGGTGAAAAGGGAGGGCTATGTTGTATCTATGCCTTACCAAGCCACTAAATCTTCCACCCAAACAAGTCTCAGCATGGATATCACCTGTGTCAACTCACACACCTTGCTGGTGGACTCCCAAAATATGTTGCACAAAGCTCTGTTAGGCAAGTTTTGAGGGCGTCAATTATCTCTCTTAGTAATTTCCACCTGCCAGATATTGCAAGCCACTGCTATTTAATGTTGAGGCTAAGGCGGTAGGCTATTAGGCCCTTCCCATTTCCCATCAGCAAATGAGAAAAGAAATAAACTTGTTTTTAGCAACTACTGTCTCTACTACCACCAGGAGTCGTGGCTAACTTGGTATGAAATGTCACAGTACCAAATCCTTGGCTGACACCTTAAATACTTAGAGCCACCCATAGCTCCTGATAATTTTCCAGCTCATCACTTTTGCCTCTTCAATATATTTCAAATCTCCATCTCCCCTTAATATATTTTACTCCAGACACAATGGCTTATGGTTGGCTCCTCAAACATTAAGTTCTTTCTTACCTCAGAACCTCTGCATATCCTGTTCTCTCCACCTCCAATAGTCTTCTCCCTCTTAATTATGTAGCTAGTAACTCCTCATCCTTTGACTCCTCTTATAACTTAACTAGATCTCCAAATTCACATCTTCCCTATTTTCTCCATATGCATCGATTCCATTCACTCTATCCTGCTAACATCAAAATTGAACTTTTATATTTATTTATTCTTTAAGGAAT